GTGTCATCATCAAGCAGCTCTTTGGGCAGGGAAGGAGAAGAGAGTAAAGGATTCCAATAGGTTGAAGGAAATAAAATTATAATAGTGAATTTCAAGACTTTTATGATAAAGATGATCAATGCGAATATCCTGATGGTTACCTCGAGGACTCAACAAATACAGGAGGACCGCGAGTAGTGAGTTATCAGAAGAAATTCGAGTGTTGGTCGAAGATGAAGCAACTACTTTAGATGAATTGTGCTTAGCTTTTGTGAAAATTACTACTGAAGGATTTAACGAATCGACTTCTAGTCTACCATAAAATGTTAAATGTATACAAGTTTCACGGATATCTTTTTTTGATAAAAGCCATCTACTATACTTAAGATGCTTAATACAATAATATAAATGGTAACATAGTAGACGGCGCTTTTTAAAAATTAACTTAGCGTGAAACCAATGTATTTTGAAACGATCAGTCAATGCAAGGTAAATACTAGCATTTAAGAGTACTATTGGTTTGCTTGTTTAAGAAATTTGATCTATTTCAAAGACAAAAATGATCAAATCTCATGTTGACGAGGCCTTTTAATGTATTAATAAAATATACCTGACGGGCAACATGAATTGATGCATAAGCATCAGGTATTGAGGTTCCTGCAGCAAGAAAAGTTATTCCCATAATAATCCCTTCTCTGGCTTTATAATTAAATTCTTGTCGTCGTTGTTTTTGACTTTTACCGTGTCTTTTACGGTTAATTGATATCGTATAATTGGCTGCTGCCCGAAAACGAGTTATGGCCGGAAAAAGACGTTTGTGTTTTATAATAACAATCTGAGCTGCTTCATAGAGAGACGTTTTATTTGGATCCATGGATGGAGCTAAACCTGAATAACCAGAGTATTGTTGATTGTAGGAATTATAATTAATGTAATTGGATGTTGGCTGATTATTGTTATATGACCATTCATCAACTGTAATAAAGACGGAAATTAAATTAGCGAAAGAAAATGTAAATCACATTAAAATTATCAACTATTGTTGAAGACAAGTTGCGTTTGGTGAACAAGCAAACCAATAGTACTCTTAAATGCTAGTATTTACCTTGCATTGACTGATCGTTTCAAAATACATTGGTTTCACGCTAAGTTAATTTTTAAAAAGCGCCGTCTACTATGTTACCATTTATATTATTGTATTAAGCATCTTAAGTATAGTAGATGGCTTTTATCAAAAAAAGATATCCGTGAAACTTGTATACATTTAACATTTTATGGTAGACTAGAAGTCGATTCGTTAAATCCTTCAGTAGTAATTTTCACAAAAGCTAAGCACAATTCATCTAAAGTAGTTGCTTCATCTTCGACCAACACTCGAATTTCTTCTGATAACTCACTACTCGCGGTCCTCCTGTATTTGTTGAGTCCTCGAGGTAACCATCAGGATATTCGCATTGATCATCTTTATCATAAAAGTCTTGAAATTCACTATTATAATTTTATTTCCTTCAACCTATTGGAATCCTTTACTCTCTTCTCCTTCCCTGCCCAAAGAGCTGCTTGATGATGACACTAAATCTACCTGTCCGAATATTTTGATATGATTCGTCTTACTCTTGATCGCCTTCGAAAAAGATGTTGATAAGATAAGTTAGCGACTAAAAAGAAATTTTTACGCTAAAACTTACTTTAATAGCACAGTAACTTTTCAAGAATTCATGAAATTCTATATATATACTACATATCTTTATATGAATCACCTTCACCAAAAACATTGCCACTCAAAATTGACGTTGATCCAGTACATCACTCTCCAAAAAGAGCTTTTGATTGCATATTAAGACGGGAGACTCAAAAGTATTTTGAAAATTACATTTAATGCGCCGAAGACAACAAGTGAACATTTAAATCAATTCGGAATACATTTCAAATATTATGTTGCTCTATTGTTCTTTCAATCCAGTCCAAGTAAAATTCAACTCTAACGTAAATATCGAGTGCATGGTGCCTCTTACAGTTCACGTTCATCACTGAGAGCCCAGCAATTACCCAATGTTTTCGAACTTTGACCATGAACGGATCGCCACGATCAGGAAAACATGCATCTTTTTGTCTTTTCGGGTAACCAGCACAAAAAAAGGAATCAGTGATATTTTTGTACATGACTTGTTTGAAAAATTTATCACAATCATCAGATCTGTCGATAGGCAAACTGGTATAATGCACATTTGAAGGTGTAAATATCACCATTATTCGATCTTTAAGAATAAAGTAACAAAGTATTATTAATTATTGTTATTAATAAAGTGGAAGAATAAATCACTCACTTCGTTTTTGCCGGCCAGCAACTGTCCCATAGCGACCATGAAAAGTTCCATCTTCTCCAGGTTCTGGTAAACAAATTGGTTGGATACTCCTACTGAACTGAACTGGCTCTTTCAAATATAAAAGAGAGACATTGGACATATATCCTATAAAATACGGAAGTCTGTAATCCGGATGGGCGTAAATGTCTTGCACTCCAATTGTTTTGTTGTTCCATTCGTCACCTAAAACAACTCGCATTGATCCCATAATTGTTCCTATACAAACAGCCTCAGTCAAGACCCATCGAGCTGCAATCAAAACACCACTACACATCGCGTAATGGCCGGTTGTATCATCATATTCTATTGAAGCGTAGAATGGCATTTTTCCTGGGTTAGTATCGCGACCACAGACCTGATCAGTCAATTCATTGTACTGAGATGGGAAAGTGGATTGTGACTTTTCATGAGACAATGGGAGTCCATTTGAAATGATGGGTAATGTAAGCAACAAAAAAGATACAAATAAAGTCATTTTAAGTTTGACGAGAGAAAGATCAAGATGAGGACTGACAAATTGAATCTTCTCGTTTTGTCTTTAAATAGCAAGAACTTTAATCTTCTTAAAGCGTCATAAACGGTTTTATTCATTAGTTATTTCGTATTCTTCGGTTTGGTTCGAATTCGCCAATCTTTTAAGCTTTAAAGAAATAATCTCTTCAGGTTAAAAGTTAAAACTAAGAGTTAGAGAGCTGAAACTTATCTTTGGTTTGGACCCAAAACAGCCAAAGTCAAAACAGCCAAGTCCATAACAGCCAAGTCCAAAACGGCCAAAGTCAAAACAGCCAAATACAAAGCTGCTTAAATCAAATAAAACTACTTAAATAATCAGATCTATTAGGGGTATCAAAAAGTACTTTTGTTTTTTTACCACTGACTTTTGCTTCAATTTTGAATAAGTTTGGCTTAATCAATAGACTCAATAATTTTGCGGACACAAGAGCATCGATATAGGTGTATGTAGACCATTTTTTGACTCAATCCGAGCTAATTAAGTATAATTAATTAGCTTATCAATATTCATAGGCAGGTTTTTTTTTGGATTTTTTTGCAATTTGAATTGATATGATTTAAGCAGCTTTGTATTTGGCTGGTTTGGACTTGGCTGTTTTGACTTTGGCTGTTTTGGGCCTTTACCCTTATCTTTCGTCGATATACATTGGTAAATTGTTGGTACTCATCAATGATAGAACATTTTTTTAAAATCGACAGTTCTCTTGATTTTGATTCAAAGGCCTCATAACTTGAGAAAGTTGGGTTCAACAAACCAATTATCACTGAGTCGTTTATGTGTGCTGGTTACACCAATGATGTAAGAGATGTATTTATTGCTCATTTTGGCAATCCATTGATGGTCAACGTTGAAAAACATTGGAATCTCACTGCATAACGTGCCTTGTCAGGATCCTGTTTCACCCCGCCTTTGTCTTAAAGGATTTCTTAGAGTAGGATTTTACTTGGACTGGATTAAAAGAACATTCCACTAGTTATTACAGTTACTATCTTCAATTTTGCTCAAATTAAATAAAGAAACAAATGAAATATATTTTGAAACGATTTAAATTTTTATCCTTTTCTTTGGTGCAATAAATATAATATAATTATTATAGGTTTGTGCTGAATGTTTAAGTTTTTGATGTTTAAAGTAACGAATCTGACGATTCCTCAGTAAACTTTACTTACTTTAGAGTAAGTATTCAATCAAAAGGATGATTATTTCTCAGGGAAGATGAAGGTGACCAAGAAGAACACGAATCTTATGGCAACATTCGGACAGCTATAATTAATGTCAAAATGGAACGTTCATTTTGAACGCGATTCATGAAGATTTGAAAATATTGCGACTCAATAAAAATGGTTAAGGAAGAAGAAGTTGTTGATCTTTTAGTAAACGTGTTTGGCGATTCCTCGAAAAACTTTCCTGGTCTAACATTCAATCTGAGTAGTGTTGTTTGTAAATAATTGTTCAAACATTCTCGGTGAATGATAAAGTTAATGTGATATTAGAGTAAGTTTTAGTTCATAAATTGCTTTTTAATTGCTAACTTATCTTTCAACATCTTTTTCTCAGGTAAGAGGAAGATGACCAAAAGTAATACGAATCATATCAAAATATTCGGACAGCTATAATTAGTGTCATCATCAAGTAGCTCATTGTGTTCTTTAAGGGCTAAAGGGAAGGGAAGGAGAAGGGAGTAAAAGCTTCAAATAGGTTGCGGCAAATACAATTGTGAATTTATAAGACTTTTTATGAATTTTTTAGTTTAACCTAACAAGATAGCTGAATCAATGGAGTTTGGCTTTCTTTTTGGCTATCATAGCCTCTACGGCCGCAAACATCCAACGACATCCATAAAGTCAAATCCGTAAAGTCCGTAAAGTAAAATGTATCAAATTTTCGCGTCGAGATTGTGGCCAAACTGAGTGGGTTCTAAGAAAAAAAATACACAGCGTAAAAGTCCTAATTCAACTAAATCACGAGAAATATGAAACCTCACCTCAGAATTCAAGTCTCTGAAAATTCATGAAAATCAGTGACTGGGGAAAATGTAGAATCCGTATGTAATGACGTTGAGAGGGGGGAACCTTTTTGTTATTCGGGTTGAATGTTGGACCAGGATTTAATGTAAAACTATGTCTTTGAATAAAGAGTAGATGAAAAGATTGATGTAGAGTTAGATGAAAAATCTTGGAACCGGATGACCTATTAGGGTTATGATAATATAAACGAATCGAGTGGTTAAAGATTTCTATGATTCTCTCAGAGTTTTTGATAAAATCACTTGCAAAGTTCAAAATTAGATTTCATTTTATTCAGCTGTATAACCAGGTTATCTATTCTATTTTTTAGTTTTTCATTGACGATGTTTAGTCATTGGGGGAGGTAAATTTCGAGAAGAGCCTTAATTCTTGATTCCTGATAGGATTGATAATTTTGTTTCAATTCATACTTGTTTTTAAACCGTTTATGGCTTGTTAAGAAGATTGAAATGCTTGCTATTTAAAGATAAAACGAGAAGATTCAATTTGTCAGTCCTCATCTTCGTCTTAAACTCTAATCTCAAACTTAAAATGACTCTATTTGTATCTTTTTTGTTGCTTACGGTAAAGGCTCTTTTCAAATGGACTCCAGTTGTCTCATGAAAAGTCACAATCGACTTTCCAATCTTATGACAATGAATTGACTGATCAAGTCTGTGGTCGCGATACCATCCCAGGAAAAGTGCCATTCTACGCTTCAATAGAAAGAGATCATTCAATCTTTTATGGCGAAAAGTGTAGTGGTGTTTTAATTGCAAATCAATGGGTCTTGACTACGGGCCATTGTATATTCAGTCTTGTTGGACCCTTACGAGTAGTTTTAGGTGACGCATGGAACAACAAAAGCAATTGCCGTTAAACCAGGTTTTATGTATCCTTATGCGGATCAGGAAATATTAAATAACAATATTGCACTTTTGGAATTGAAAGAAACAGTTCAGTTCACTAGGAGTATCCAACCAATTTGTTTATCAGAGCCTGGAGAAGATGAAACTTTTTATGGTCGCTATGGCACACTGGCTGTATGGGAAAGACTAAGTGAGTCATTTATTCCTTTACTTTAATCATACCAATAATTAATAATTATTTTTTCCTTTATTCTTAAAGATCCAACAGGGAGAAAATTACAGCCAAATATGCAAAGCACCACTTCGCCGATCATAAGACATACTGATTGTGAAAAATCATACGCAAAAGTTGGGTTCAAGAAATTAAATCTAACTGGCAATTTAAATGAGTCGTTTATATGTGCTGGTTACTCGAGGCATGTAAAAGATATATGTTTTCCTAAGCCTGGAAATTCGTTGATGGTCAACGTTGAAAATCATTGGGTACTTGTTGGAATTTCAATAAATAACTTAGACTGTGAGAAACCGGGGTTACCCCACATTTATCGAAGAGTGGGATTTTACTTGGACTGGATAAAAACAATAGTTCGATAGTTATTACAGTGTATACCTTGCTAAAATTAAATAAAGAAAAAATCATTCGACATGTATTTTAAAAGGATTTTAATTTTCACTTTTTTTATCCAATAAATATTACGTCTCAATAATATTGGTTTAGGAATTGGCGGAGGTGAAATCTCAAGACGAGCATTGAATAATTTAAAGAAATTGAAGTCTTTGTTTGTCACGAGAGATGAAGATTCGCAGATTTCATTAAAAAACGTGTAGTGGTGTTTTGCTTGCAGATCTTTGTCCTTGGCTGTGGTTCATTGTATACTCATTTATCTTGGACACATGCGAGTTTTTTAGGTGTCGAATGGAACAACAAAACAATCCGATTGGAAGCAGCTTACTTCCATCCGGATTCCGGAAGCCATCAATGAGGAAATTCAATGAAATGCAAGTGATAACACCATGACCATTGAAGGGGGACGAATCATTAGTAAGGCCATGAGAAAAAATAAATGAAAGCTCCAACAGGTCAACTTCTCAGATTGTCTACTGAAGAAAAGCGGATTTTCATTTATTTTGGAAGCCATGAATGATACTTGAGAGGTTGAAATGACTTGACGTCAGTAGTAGATCGGAGGTGAAGAAGTTGTTGATCTATTAGTTAACGTATTAATATTAATATTTGGCGATTCATCAAAAAACTTTACTGACTTAACATTTTATATGCTAGCAATGTTTCAAGTGAAAATAATTGTTCATATGTTCATAGTTGAATGATAAAATCACTGTGATATTAGAGCAAGTATTCAATCCAAAAGTGTGTTCAAAGCTGAATTTCTAGAAACAAAAATAATCCTCAGTCGTTACTTGACCTCAGCAAAGACTATTTCATGGTGTTTGGAAGAATTTAAGATTGGTTTCTGAAAAATGTTAAGCCTCAACACATTTTCGAATGAAAAAATCACAACTTAATTGAAGAAGCAATTGGTTTTAATCTTACAAAAGAGATGAAATATTTAAAAATATATAAATCAAGGAACATTTTATGTCAAGGAGAAATGGAATAGGAAATTTAAAACCTTTTACTTTTGTCGCATTTCATCTGATTCTGCAGTTGATCCGTCAAAGTTTAAAACTTTACCATTTGTCTGAGATCTTTGTCTAGATACTAATCGTGCTGATTTATTCCGGAACTCTCCAAACCTACGATCAGGAACATCACGCCAGCTTCCAGGTGATCGACTATTGCTAGCGATGACAATTGAATCAACAGATCCGTCCACATGCAAATCACTAGACAAGAAAAGACTTGGTGTTGAGGTTTTGAACATTTCTTCAAACTTTTGATTTGTTCTTGAAGGCAAAATCTTGCTTGAATCTGATGTAAAGAATGAACTTTCTCCTAAATTACGGTAAATTTCACCAACATTGTCACCCAAATGAAGTTTGACTCGTGGATCTGAAGAGCTTTTTGTCAAGCTAGAATAAAAAAATGGTCGAATTTGGTCACGGTGAGGACGAAATCGGGATCTGAGTGGTTCATCTTGAGTCCAAAGTGATGGACTCGCCGGTCTACGATTCCATGTGTTCAGTGGTGAATACAGTGATGAGGGTGAAGAGGATGAAAAAGGCCGTTGGTTGAAAGAAGCATGGTAACTGGACGGTGTGTGATAGTTGGCCACTGGTTGATAGCGAGATGTACTTGGTCGGATTGATGAGTCATTATAACTTGGTGTTGTTTGATAGAGGGAAGTTGAATAACTTGGTCGACGATTATTGGATGATGAGGAATAATTTGAAGTGATTCGATGATCTCCACCATTAGGGTGGCTTGTGCTTGTTTGATATCGAGGAGTTGAATAACCTGGAGTAGTGTAACCATTTGATTGAGGCCGCTTTTGGCTGTTAGACCAAGTTCCTTTTCATTACAAATAAAAACGAAAACGGTAAATCAACTTGTTTTTTGATCAAGATAATTTTTAGTTTTTCACACTCACCTGCGTTATTTCCCTGATGTTGACTCTGGTTTTTTTGTCCATTATTTAACCTAGAAATTGAGTTTCCAGAGCCTTGGCCACCACGACAGGGAACGAAGTTGATTTGTTTGCCATTGGAGACTGTGTCCGATTGCTCTGGGCACAGAATTGACGACTCTTCTTCTCGAAGTCTATTGAGTATAATAAAGTAATAATTAAGCATGGATAAGAGATGTTGATTCTTGTCAAAATTGATATTATTTCTTAATCCTTTAAGTATCAAGAGTTTATCATACCTTGGATCAATGTTGCTCATATATTTTATTGCCAGTCGATCGATTATCATTTTAGGACTAGAGATGAGTTTCAAGGGATTCAATACATCAATGCCTTTGAAAGTCCATTTCATGACAGCTTTCCTTAATGAACCCAAACTTTTTTCATAAGTTACTAGAAAGGTATAAGTTTGACCAGGTTTAAAGCTTGAAAATGTTTCGCTAACTTTGATTCCATCAGCCTTCCTCTTAGAACCTTCAAGATCCAAAGTAAATGATCCAGTGCCTGACTCTGAATTGTTGGCCAAATGAATCTCGATTCCATAATGATGTACTGATCGAAAAAAATAAACAAGAAATTAATTGCAAACATAAAAAGAGATAATTAAGGAGAAACTTACAGCAATATGGAGATTGGGCACCAGTTTTGTAGTAATACTTTTTAAAGGCTGCATCTCTGAATCGGGTTTGCTTTTGTTCTTGAAAAGCTTGGCCTGAACCACGATCAGTTTCACCAAAAATTGATAGAACAGCACATTTCTTTCCATCCGTTCCACAATCTGTACACTTTCCCTTTTCATAATCGTCGTAATTCGAACATTGATAGCCAACAAATTGACAATTTTCAGTCAACTGTTCGGGATTGATGAGCATCAGTCGAGGAGCAAACTGGTGGTTGCATGAAATTGTTTCACTGATGCCTGAAGCAGAGAAACAAAATATGTTAAACTGGCAATTTAATCCAATTTGAAAGGAAGAAGGCCAAAACTGCCTAGAAAGCAATTTTCCTGTGATAAACATATATGATGTAAAACTTTATGATGCATTCATTTCTTCAATACATTTTTCGTTTTTTCTCTGACGGAGAACTATTACCTTTATCGACAAAAAGGCCAGTTTTGCGGCAATTTAGGTCAGAATAGATTACTTTATTTAAATCAAAATTGAATTTAACATCTTACAAAATCATCCAGAAAGTGGCTCCACCTTTGGTTATTGATTCATATTTTCAATCGCGAAGAAATATTACATTTTTCAAAAATATGGCCAGTTTGCGGCATTTTATATCAAAATGAATCACTTCGTTGAAATCAAAATTGAATTTTAAATCTGAAAAAATTATTCAGAAAGTGGTTTCACCTTTGATTATTTCGCTATTCGTTCCCATGCATTTTCAACGTTATTTCATTACTATCTCAATCAGTATATCTCAAAAACGTAAAATTATTTTGAAAAATAAGTTGAAGGAATGAATTTTGCTTTAAATTTTTCATGATATATGTTCATAAGAAAAATATTTCATGCTAGGCAGTTTTACCTATTCTTCTGGTCTTCATCTTTACCTTTAATCACCCCTTGATTGAGAACATTGAATAATCCTTTAGTTTTACCACAAGCAGGTTGTCGATAGCCACCATTTGGATAAAAATCAATGTCACCTAAAGCATCTTCAATTCCAAGTCCTGAATAAATGCGAGAAGAATAATTAACTTTAAGAAAAGTATTAAAATGAACAGAATCTTACCTTCAACTACGAGATTTCCATAATCAGTGTGAATCGCATCGACATAGCTTGCATCAGATGGATCTAGCCGGAGCGATGACTCATTGGAATAGAAACTTGGTCCTGCTGGATCAAGTCCAGTGATGCGGCCAATCTTGGGATTTTGAATTCTTTCACCTGCATAACCAGATACATGAGCCCCCAAGCTATGACCAATCAGATGAACATTGGAAAATTTCAGGCCCGAAATTTGATTCAATTTTTTAATAAAATGAGCAAGTGCAGCACCAACAACGCGAGTATTGGCCACAGCTTGAAAATAGTTGATTGTTTTAGCTCCATTTGACCAATCGACACCAAAAACATTGTATTGATTAGGTTGGCCTTCGAGAATTAGATCTTTCAATTTCTGCAGAAATGAAATGAAATCATGAATATCGAATCATCATGATAGCTCTTTCACTGATACTCACCCCCATCCAATCCATTTCATCGAAAGAACTTGTAAATCCGTGGATTATAAATTTGACCTTTTTCCGAGCATCGAACGGTGAATTATTCAACTGAAATTGCTCGAGGTTATATTTGAAATCGATTGAACTGTAAGGATTTTCAGGTGTAAACAATTTAAATGTAATGTTGATCTCTTCCGGACTTTGAGGAGCGAAAGTAATTGGTTGTCCATTCAAATCACTAAAATCTCTCGTTCCAAAGCAACCAAGAGCTCCATAACATTTATCGGAAGAGCCTAAATTGAAGCAAAAATGCAAAAAAATTTACAAAAAACTCAATAAATATCATCTTAAAAAACCTCAATAACATAGGGTGTTAATACCCTTCACCCGTTTGATTGACTGTTTCTCACGTCAGTGTTTATCAGAATTGTAATTTATTCTGAATGGAGAAATATAACGTTAAAAAGATCATAGTACATTTCAAAAGTGGCAAACCGAATCAGGCAACTTTAAAATAAATCAATCTACAATCTTGGAACTAACGAAAAATAAGATTAGAAAGTTCGGGTCTATTCGCATCAATCGATGTAAAGAATCTGTTATTGTAACTTTCTTCAATAATGTTTTTTCTTTGGTAAGGGCAGAACCCATCAGATCATTTTTCCATCTTCAAAGATCTCAGCTAGCCAAGTCGATGAAGATAATCTAATTAGCTAAATTAGGTCTAGATTGATTTGGACATTTCATGCCAGTTTATTTAGATTAGTAATGGTTCGATCAGATTAAACTGTCTTAGATTATGTCAGCTCTTAGTGTTGACATTTTTATTGATTTCTTTTGTGATAATCTCTATTTAGTGAAATGATGAATCTACTTGACTTGAATCAGTGAAGGCAATTTGATTTTTTCCTTTTGAAACCTTTTGATGTAATCGACACATTAACTGGTTTTAATGTTTATTTTTCATTTACACTCAGCCTTGTAAGTAAAAGTAAAAGTTGCAATATTTTTGGACCAGAAATCATCATTAAAACCAATTACGTTTACCCTTAAGGGTTTGAATTGTTGACTAATCAACTTTCAATGATGCCAAACAGGAATCAAAGTCATCGAGTTACAATCCAAATGTCACATTGACTTACATTTCCATGAATAATCAAGTTCGATCTTTTTCAATCTTTATCAACTTAACTATTCATTCATTCAAAAAGGTCATTTTTAAAGATCAAGACGACTAAAGGTACAGTCGTCTTCATCTTCTTCGTCTTCGTCTTCTCATGTCACTATCCTAGAATGGATTAGCACAGTTACTAGCCAAACAAGATGCAAAATTTTCACAACTTTTAATCTTGTTATAATGCAAATCCAATGTTAAAACAGTTTTTGTGGTCGATAATTAACAAAAATGATAATAACAAGTAATAACAACAAAATGAAGACAACTTACTTGAATTGTTTGAATGCTGGCCGAAAGTGGACTGGCTAACGGTTAAAATGAAGAGACTGAACAAATGAAATTGCACCATTGTAATGATGGCGAAATCCGAAAATGGAAAAATAACAAAATTGTAAAAATGATCAAAATATAAAAATGTATTGGAAAAATGAGCGTTTTAATGAAATGTGTATAAACTGGAAACACATTGGCAGCGGATCAACTAACACTAATAGCTGATGTTGAATGTGGATGAAAATGAATTGCAAAGTGAGTAGCAAATTAAGGAGGCTCTGGGAGTAACATTAACCAGAGTGGAAAGGGGTTTCAAGAAAAGTAGTTTAGAGGGTTGATTCAATGTTAATCAAGTCACAACCATGAACATACTGACCGCTACTGTACAATCATAATAATGGCTGTGAAAAAAATAAAGAGTTGAAATCACACCGAAGTAACCCTTGGGCTATTGTTTACCGAGTAAAATAAGAGTAAATGTGATGTAAATGTTTACATGTCGAGATGAAATGAGAAGCAAAACTTGAGGAACACACCAACAACGAGAAAAACAAAAATAAAAGTTAACAAGGCCTTAGTTGTGTAAAGACAAAACGTAAAGAGCAAGAAAAATGATGGACATGATAAGGTTTGATATTAATTTAAAAGGTTATTATTTACCTTGAAACTGGTTTCCCTTTAGTACATTGTATGTTGAAGATGATGAAAATGATGAGATGTATATTGTCATCAACCTTATTCTCATTGGGAAACCTGGCCTGGTAAACACACTTATATTTAAATGATGAGGATGAACTTTCTTTGATTGCTTCCATTACATGAAAGTCTGTTGAGAGCATCAAGTTTTCATGTTTCAAATGTTAACATGGACTAACAAGATGAAAAGGTTAACCATTCAAAATTGTCAATCAAAACAAGTAAAATTGATGTGGGCTTTGAAAATCAAAATGATTACAATAATCGAGTTGTATTTGTATGTTTACCTCTTCCTCATTGCTCAGTTACAGACGATTATATCATGTCTGTCTAATTGTTCAATACAATTTCATCTCTGTAAACCTCTAGAGTTCAAGTTGACTTTCATTTTTGAGTTCATCTATTTGCTGGTCAACCTTGTTCAACTATTTTTACTCACCATTTCTGCATCATTGCCTTTAATAATTCATTTAGAGTCTATTTATGGCCATGAAAAGGTTAATGTGAATGAACAAGATTAAGAAATTGTTTAAAGTGGCAATTTTGTTGAAAGATTTGGTTAACACTAGAAGCGAGGTTAGACTGATTCAATCAGGAATGGTTTCGTTTTTTTTGTACTCAAAGTCGTTCATCAGAGCCGTGATTTGAGGCCAAATTAATGGATAAAGGTTATTTGTCGAATTTTCCTGAACCCGGTGAAGTAGATGAGATTAAACCTCAAAATTCAGTTGCATATTACCAGTCAATGCATGCTAATTAACAGCATTTGAAAATACTATTGAGTTGCTTTTACACCAAACGAAACCAAATGTTGAAGATTGGTCTCTTGTACCAAATCCAGTTGTTGAAGGCTGGTTACCAGTACTTAGCTGGTGTATCATCGCCCCTTTACATGCAACTCTCTTCTACACGATACCAAACTGTAAAACAAGAACTAACCTTTACTTGGTTACATTTCTCATGTCCGTCTTTTGGATAGCCATTTTTTCATACATAATGGTTTGGATGGTCAGTTAATTAACAATTTTGTAACATCTTTTAATTTGCTCACATTTCATTTTTAAAGGTAGCAATTTGAAGATTTAGGTAACCCAGATAATGGCCGGTAAACAAATAAACTGCCCAGACAATTATGCCCTTTATTATCATGAGTTAATACAGTAAAATAGAGATTTTTTGGGTCTCTCACAATGTCAGTGAAGTGTCAATATATCGGTTCATTGATTGGCAATGTTTGATGGTAGAAAGCACATTTGCTCATCAATTGATTGACAAAATCGTAAGATTTGTTAAGTCACTTCTGAAAATTTTAGAGATAAAAACTCTTTCTTTTTCATGTTTCTTATGGTTTATGATGAAAATAGTATTCCAACATCAAGAAACTCAATGAATTTGAATTGATATTGGACAGTGGCTTGTAACTTTGATCATCAGCCACTAAGTCAGCTTGATAATGAGCAGTATTTATATTAACTGATTTCCAATGTATTACCATTGTAGTCGTGCCATGTAATCAAAAACATTTACGAACATATTGGAAATATGTTGACATTTTTGAACTTTGCTATGTTCAAACCTGACCGGTAATGCCTTGTCAGCAGATGATCTTGTAATTAAGTGAATGGAAAGTACAATATCGATTTGATCTTGAAGTCAACTTTAATTCAGAGTCTGGCAAAACGATTGATTCACTTCAATCTGTCTTTGAGTATTTATTAGGTTGCTTCACTTTTGAACATTCATCAATAATGTTTATCAATTTTCACCTTCAACCTAAAGTCAAATACAAAAAGCAAGATAACCAAGACAAACAAGAAACTTGTTCACAATAGATACAAATCTAGACTCTTGCTTGCAATATTGTTTGAGTATAAATAAAAGTCCAATTGTGAGGTTGGAGGAAAGATGATGAGACAATGAGAATGATGAAATAAATGTAAGACAGAGGAAAGATAATGAGATGAGACAATACCTTGAAAAGGCAAAAATAGATCTTCGAAGCTAAAAGCGTGGATAGAAATGGGGAAAACAAGTAAAAAGTAGACAGAAGATTGGTGACAGTGATAGACAGAGAAGATATAAAGGTGGAAATGACGATGAAAGGGAAAGACAAAACAGTCATGACTGAATATCGATATTCAGGGTGAACCTAAGAGCCATGAGCTGTGAAGCCTGAGTCTTGAGTCGACTCCTTGGTTCGGGTTAAATTGAAGAACATCAAGAAATGATGACAAGAAAGGGAAAGAAAAACAAGGAAGATAAGAAGATGAAAATGATGATAAAGAGAGAGTAAAATGAGTAGAAATGAATGTGAAAAGTGAATATCGCGCTTAAATCCAATAAAATAATGTTAACTTGCCTGAGTTTGGAGTTTTGTATATTTTCACTCCCAGGACAAGATTAACATTAGTTATTGTCTAAATTTCATTAATTATCATAAGTTATAATCATTATGAAGATGATTGTGATTGTGAAAAGGATGATGGTGATGATGGGAATGAGGTGAAGAGAGCAAGGTTAAGGTAGAAAGGATAAAGAGTGATTTTGGATTGAAACTGATAATGTAATGGAAACATAAATTTAATGGGTTAAATCTTATCAACATTTGAAATATTATTCTTCTTCTGTTTTCCTCTCCTATTCAACTTACAGCCTTAACTAACAACAATCAATACGACAATCAAATTTACAACGAAAATTTCATCCAATCTTAAACCATTCAATTGTGCTTCAAATGCTTGGGTCAATCAGTTGTTCATAAGGAACTCTCGTTTTTTGGATACATTTAAAGTTGCCTGTTAAAATTAGTGAAATAAGAAACATTTACCATTCCATTGAGTGTTTCAATGTTCAAGTCCAGTTATGGATCGATATGTAATCCAGTGAACCTTGAAGTTATTATCATTCATCACTAATCATCAGCCTCATCATCATTTCCAACACTATCAACAATCTTGAAAAGGATAGAAAGATGGGTAAATCAATTGCAGTGAAAAGGTTAATTGTTCAAAAATTAGCTCTTGTAGTTGTTATACTCATCTTTTCAGTGATCAACATTTATATCAAAGGTAAGTCAATCGTTAATTCAAGTAAAGGTAAAATCAACCGTTTAACAAGATTCCTATAAGAATGTTATTTGTTGAAAAATTTTAAAGGTGAATACATTTTCCCCTGAAATTTGATAAACACTTAACAGTTTATTATCAAATGTTAATGTCACCTGAATTTTTTTCACTTTCACTTGCAATTTCCTATTAATCTTGATTTCCAGTAAATTCCGGGAAATCTTATTAAATGGTAAAGATAACCTGAACTGAGCATTTCTTTATTACATTTTGTCTCATACAAAATACACTAGGATTATTGATCTCAGTGTTTAACAATACAATTCAATTGTGAGTTTGTTTCTTTGTCAGTAAAGAGTAAAATCAATAAAAATATTGCTTAGTTTTGGTTAACTGTTTAATCATTACAATATCACATGAAATTACCAGGAGAAACTTCATCTTCTTTGATACAAAATTAGACCAAAAAAAAACAGATTTACTTTTCCATTTTGTATCAAATGTGAACCTGAATTTGGTCTACATTTTATCCAAATGAAGAGGTTAAACAAAACTTGAAAAATGTTTACCTTGCTCTTCCTATTGATAGTCTTGAATTTACCTGATTGTTGAACTTGGTTGCTTTTATATTAATGGCTTGCTCAGGGGATTCCAGAGAATCGCATTAGCTAATGTTTCTCTCTGTCAATATTAATAACACTTTTTACATTTGAAATCAGTTGATACAATGGAGAGACCATTAAAATCTGATTCCATTTCAATTTTTCAACAGCAAAATTTTGGCCATTTTTGTATTATCCTTTTTTATTACTACTTTATTAACTAAAATTCATGTTGATTGAATTGTTTACTCTCACCTTGATAATAATTTAGTTTACCGGTTTATTATTATATTTACTTGATTACTTTCCATTTCTGGAATCACTTGAAATCTCGAGTGAAAACATAATTCATTTTGACTGGTTAATCTTGCTTGACAACCTCATTTTTGTATAATTTTGTTTGCTTACAAATTTATTTACCAACAATTCATTTTAATTTTTTATCTTCTTCTCTTTTTCCTTACTTAATCATCATTTAAACAAATAGATGAACCTGAAAAATTATTCCTCTCGTCGGCATCATGATTAATTCATTGAATTGTTTTCATGAATCGACTGATAAACAGTGATAGGCAACCAATACAATTGGGTTTTCATTTGTTTTTGTGTTGACATTATTCTTATAACATTAGATGAGTTCAAGAGTCAACATGAAATGAAATTAAATTTTACTCGGTTAGCATTAGTTTTATTTGATTGTTTGATTAATGCAATAATATAATGACAAAGATGATGATTAGATTCAAGCTTACACATTCATTAGCTTTACAATGTTAAGGTTTTCAGTTGCAATATTTTAAACGTTTCCAGATAAATAAATTAATGGTAAATATTTGGTTATAGATTAAAATAAATTAACTAATGTTAATTAACAATCTTTTAATTAACAATTGTAAGATTGGATCACAAAATTATCGAGTTTAGTCACATTTACAATTGAAAAAGGCGCAATTAATGCCTTTGAATGCTTTTTATGCTTTGACAGTTTCGGCTTGAATCGGCTGCTTAACCAGTTTTTGCCAAAATCTTTCTGGTTAACTCGTTTGATCACATGTTAAACTTGAATTTGAATCAAAACAAATAGTTCAGTATTTGAACTGAAACAGTTTTCACATTATTTAATTTTCTTGTTAATAATTTACATTTCAACATCTCATTTAATTAGTTATTTTTCTAGTAAGTGGTCTTTTTGTGGATATTTGCAGTCTTTCAATGTTTTAAGTGTTCACTTGAATCAACCATTTCTAATTTGTTTTACTTTTTATTCTTTTACGATTACCAGGAAAAGGAAAGATAGACCATGAAACGGAACAATCAGATGGACAATCAACTACCAGTCTTGATAAAGAAAATATTAAAGAAGTTAGTGCCAATCAAATGGTTGGATCAAAATTTAGATTATTTAATAAACAAAGTAATAGTGGCCAATTGGATGGCAAGTCGCCAATCAATCAATTGAATTTAGCACAATCATTAGCGGTTAAGATAAGAAGAAAACGGAGAAACCTTCTTTCAATCGATTACGAGAAAGGTCCACTTTCATTATCATTGCTACAATCAACTTCTTCCGTCGCAGATGAAACCAATGGAGAGATCAAAGTGAATAATATCAGTGAACCAGTTCAACCAAAGGTTACAAAGCCTTCGAGAAAAAAGTCTAAACATAAACAGAAGCAAAAACAAGTTGAGGGTGAAGGAACAACGACGGCAACATCATCGTCGACATCCACGGAAACTTCACAGACAATCAATGGAACTGAACCAGAGGCTGTTACAAACAAAACAGAAACAAAGTCTAAAAAGCGTAAAACTAAGACTGGGAAAAAAAAGTTAATCCCATCACCAGGATCAATAGGACAATCAATTGAAACCAAGTCATCTAATGAATCAGAGTATTTATCAAATTATTTATCGATTTTTACCTAGAATGTTAATATCTTGTCATTTAGTTTCTCTTTTGTTACTTGAAATATAATCAACTAATCTTGTTAGTCAACAGAGTGAGATATTTAGAAAGCCTAACCAGTTCAAGGTAAAAGCTCTTACGGTTAATGAATCGTGAAACATCTTTCAATTTATTCGCATTGTTAACAACAATTATTTTGTTTCTCCTCGCATTCAATTATTATTATTATTAATATTTATAACTTGCTATTAATAGTTACTAGTTACAATGTTAGAATGAGAAATTATCTGTTGTAGAAATGTTGTATTTTATATCAGAAGAGAAATGAACCAATTTGCTAATTCTCACTGACACTCTTTTATCTCTTTTCATCCGAACCAGGAATTCCAACAGTACTTCAAAAACACCAGAAACACCAGTGACAACACGGATACACGCAGCTCCACCCAAAACGATAATTCCATTGCTTAAAAATGTTAAAATTAAAGAGTGTACAGCACCGGCTTTCAAAGAGTTTCCAACGGACATTTTTGGTCACAAGGCACGGAAACATGGAGCTATTATAATTCATATTGCTGTGGCTTGTTATATGTTTTATTGTTTAGCAATTGTTTGTGATCACTATTTCTTAACATCACTCGAAGAATGTGCAATTGTAAGTTAATTAACTAGCAAATACTGTCGACTATTTAATATTTTACTGTTAATCGTTGCGTTTGAGAGTTTTTAGCTGATTCAGGAAAGATTACAGAATAGTGTTGACAGAAAACATTGAATCAAATTAATATAATTCATCAATATTTATCGTACTCACAATCATCAGGAATATGAGATGGTTGCTGCTTAAGATAAATTTTCTTTCAGAATATATCATGATATGTATTGATGAATTATTAATATATTGATTGATTATTTTGTTTTTCATCACTCAATATTTTTCAAATTAGTGACATAATTGACAAATCTTTTTTTTTTGTTTTTGTAGAGACTCAATTTATCCAATGATGTTGCCGGAGCAACTTTGATGGCTGCTGGTTCATCAGCCCCAGAACTTTTTACAGCAATATTAGGTGAGCATTATTTATTAACGGCTTTTACAGAGTCTTGTTGTTGAATGACTTTAGGTGTAAACACTGGGCCTATTGGTACAAGAGTAAACTTCCTTGGGTTATTGTTGCTGAATAGCTCACCAGAAATTTCATTGATCATTCCTTCACATTTACAGAATAGCTACAAATGTATTTAAGCATCTAAAGTCATTTAAAAACGACCTGTGATCTGATTTAAATCACTATAGTATCACTTTCCAAATTGACATTTTATTTCTTCTTCTTTCAGGTGTTTTTGTTGCTAAAGGTGATGTTGGAACAGGAACAATTGTTGGATCAGCTGTATTCAACATTCTCTTTGTCATAGGATTATGTGGTGTTTTAACTAGTAAGCTAATCAATTTACTTACATCTATCAACTTGTTGGCTAATTAATTTGGATTTCACCAAATTTCACCATTTCACTCAAATGTCCATCTTTAACTTAATTTCGCTTCAAGCTCAACATTTATTATCACTTCATTTCATGCTTGAGTGTGAATCGCAGTTAAATATCAATCCTAGGTGTAAATTTTACGTTTAATTAATTTTCCTCTCTTTCCTTTACTCTCAAGTTAATCAATTAATCACTCTTTGCAGTTGACTGTTTACTTTTCCAGAGAAAAAGACAGTTAACAATATAAATAAGAACCAAAGCTTTCTCCCATTTCCTATTATCATCTTTATTATTATCATCATCATCATCAAAATAAACAGCACTTTGAAATCCCGAAGGAGAATTGTTAATAACCTTAATAAATGAAAGTTAAAATATTAAACTAAATTACACTTGGCCATTAACAATATTATTTGCCAATTACTCGATTGTTATAACTTGAAAAGTAAAGATTAATGATATTAGAGATTTTTTCCACTGGTTTACTGAATTCAGTTAATTTTTGATATTTTACCTGAAAATAATGGTTTATCGATTGAAAGTTCAATTCTTTGTTGGTTACTTTCAAGATTGATTCCATTCATTCACGACATTTTTTAAAATAAATGATTAACTTGCAGGTAAACCACTTTTGTATCACAATGAAATACAAAAATATCAAAAGGACAATAATAATGGTGAAATTTCAATTTTCAAATTTTTACATTATATTTTTGATTATATCTTGAAATACAATTTCTCTAATTGTTTCCATCTTATTTTGATTTAACCTAGCTGCGACCGTTTTGACTTGGTGGCCTGTTGCAAGAGACTCAACTTACTATACCTTCACTGTTTTAGTCCTTATTTTGGTTGCTTATGATGGAGAAGTAACCACTTTTGAATCAGCCCTTATGTTGATTTTCTACGTTGGTTACATTGTGGTTATGCATTTTAATCATCAAATCCGTGATTTAGTAACAGCCAAATTAATGGATAAAGGTTATTTGTCAAATTTACCTGAACCCGGTGAAGTAGATGAGATTAAACCTCAAAATTCAGTTGCATATTACCAGTCAATGCAAGGTAAATACTTACATTTAAAAGTACTATTGATTTAGTTTTTAACCAAACGAAACTTGTCTTCAACAACAGTTGATAATTCCAATGTGACTTACATTTTCTTTCCCTAATTTAATTTCCGTCTTTATTACAGTTGATGAATGGTCTTATAACAATAATCAGCCAACATCCAATTACAATAATTATAATTCCTACAATCAACAATACTCTGGTTATTCAGGATTAGCTCCATCCATGGATCCAAATAAAACGTCTCTCTATGAAGCAGCTCAGATTGTTATTATAAAACACAAACGTCTTTTTCCGGCCATAACTCGTTTTCGGGCAGCAGCCAATTATACGATATCAATTAACCGTAAAAGACACGGTAAAAGTCAAAAACAACGACGACAAGAATTTAATTATAAAGCCAGAGAAGATGGCGATCACGCATCTGGTTTGTCCAAAGTTGCCCATGAACGAATCACTTCGAGTCCCAATGTTGAAGATTGGTCTCTTGTACCAAATCCAGTTGTTGAAGGCTGGTTACCAGTACTTAGATGGTGTATCATTGCCCCTTTACATGCAACTCTCTTCTACACGATACCCAACTGTAAAACAAGAACTAACCTTTACCTGGTTACATTTCTCATGTCCGTCTTTTGGATAGCCATTTTTTCATACATTATGGTTTGGATGGTCAGTTGATCTACAAATTTCAATTCGTAGCAATGATGATACAAACAGGCCAACTAATGATAATTTACTTTGATCTTCTACTTGACAGGTAACCCTTGTTGGATTCACACTCGGAATACCTGATAGTATTATGGGAATAACTTTTCTTGCTGCAGGAACCTCAATACCTGATGCTTATGCATCAATTCATGTTGCCCGTCAGGTATATTTTACATTAAAAGGCCTCGTCAACATGAGATTCGATCATTTTTGTCTTTGAAATAGATCAAATTTCTTAAATTCAAAGTATTAAATGTCTAAGAGTCTGTAATATTCATTAAGTAAAGTAAAAAAAGGTCTTGTGTACAAACAAGAGCGTAAAAATGACTGAGATTTTGCTCTTATGCTTTTAGTGAAAATATCAGTTTACAATTTGTCAACTTTAGCTATTGAAAAAGACTCAATAACAGAAGAAAGTGCAACTCTTTGACAACAGATTAAAAAATACAAAATGATTAATCTTTGATATTAATTTTTCCAATTTTCAGGGGCAAGGAGATATGGCCGTATCCAATTCGATAGGCAGTAATGTATTTGATATTTTAGTTGGATTAGCGCTTCCCTGGTTTGTCGAGACAGCTCTTTGGCAACCTGGGACAACGGCAAGCATCAACAGTCGTGGATTATTTTATGCGATAATCTTATTGTTTCTCTCATTATTGGTGACAATTTATCTCTTCCATCGTAACCGTTGGACACTCAATCCTAAATTAGGATATGCCTTACTTGCTACTTATGCTGTTTTCCTTGTATTCTGCGGAGCTTTGGAGCTCAATCTACTTGGCTACGTTAATCCAGTTATGTGTGAAGAATGATAATCATCTTTATGAAATACAATCATACAAATTATATTATTATTATCATTACTATTATGTTATTGATTGTTTTGAAAATGGAAATCAATTTTTGTTTGTTTCCTTCTTTGTTTTTCATTGTTTTCTGTGTGAGACAATCCAATAATCAACTGTAAGCTTTTATTATCAATCGTCTTTATGTATTAAAACAAGTACAATCAGATCTGAGAAAACAAAAGCAAGGATTAACTTGAATCATCTCAACCTTTCAATCATAATAATTTACTCTAATTGTAAATGATCAATTTTCCATTCCTCAATTTACCATGAAAAAGAAATAATTTTCAATGATTATTGACCCTTTCTGTCTCTCTACCGATCAAAAGTACAATCAACTCAGTTGATTTAGCTTGAACCTTGAAAATATTATTACCACTAGTTACATTAACTGACCAACAATTTCTCATATTATTTCTATTATTTAAAGGATTCGATAATCGAATAGACCTTGAGTCGTAATCAAATTTTTTACCGATCCGTCAATCGGCCGCACTTATAACCAACCAAGTGATTGGTTTTCATCATTTACTCGTTGTCCAATTGGTATTACAATTGAAAAATGTGAATCAATCATCGATCATTACATAGCCTAATAAACGTCAATTGTACAATTATGAATCTCAGTTATCTAAACATGAACATTTTAATTTAATCATCACTCGAAATTCAAGGCTAACAATCAACGGTGAATCTTTGAGAGAGAAGAAAATATAATATCAATTTGAGTGAACAATTTAAGGTCTTGTTTTACCTTGAAAACCAATCAACATTATGGTCAATCTTTTTACACTCAAAATTGTTCAATTTATTGATCAATCTGGTAAAAGAAACAATCTTGACCATTTCAAGATTTAAAGATTGATTCATTGATTCCAAGACAAAGTCAACCTTGGTAACTCCTTTTGATATCAATTTACAAGTAAACCCAATGTTTGTGAATAAGATAGTCAGTTACATAGTGTATGTTCATCAAATCAGGTTAACATCTTTGCTTGTTTATATAATCATTTTGAATTAATTATTTCCTGGCTTATAAATCTTGGTCATGGTCAACGGGAAGCTATTAGGATGATATTTTAATCTCGCAACAATTAAACTCTCAATTTTCAACCAAACATTATTTGCTTCAAACCAATTAACCTCAAACTTGAAACATTTACTTGAAATTGATTTAGTTTGAACCAACTGATTGAAAATAATTAACTGGCTTCAATTGAACTTTCAATGTTGTCACAGTAAACTACAAAAAAAACATAATTAGTAACCATTCCGAGTCAACAATTAGAGTTGACCTTTTTTTGTCACTCTTTTAGCCATCTTTACAATTTGTTTAACAACTGATATTACCTGTAATTGTTGCCAGTTATTAACCCAATCTTTAGGTTTGAACCGTTAAAGAAATTGATTCTGGTTAAAGGCAAATAACGAGTTATAATTTGTATTTAGGTAAATCTTGTTTAGTAGAGTTGAAAAATGATATAATAAAGTGATTATCAGGTGAAGATGATTATTATTATTCACTAATTAGATATTTCCTTATTTAATACAATTGTTATTTAATATATTTGCTTAACCTTAATCAACTACCCGAACGATGAGACTATTAAACTGATCAATAGTCTAACTTAATGGCGTTAAACGATGTTGATATAATTAGTGAGGCAATCAAGTGTTATTGTCATCAGTGATCATGATCATGATTAAAACCATGATTTACACGGTTTGATTAAAGGTAACAATTGAGAGAATTTGAATCAATTAAAATACAATTCCACTGATTACTTGTATTCCTTGACCCAAAAATACAGTGTCAAGATAAAACAACACAACAAAATGATTAATCGGATTCACACACCAAGGACAATTAAATTGACTATCTTTGCTGCCTGCATTCACCTTCAATGATCACGGAAATGAAAAAACTAATGATGTTCACTAAATGAACAACAATTAACATCATCTATAAGAGTGATAAGTAATCTTTAGAGGAACCAAAAAATAAAAGGAGAAAAATATTAAAAAATAAGCTTTTTTCTGGTTGATTGAATTGTATTACAATGTACTGGTCAATACAGTAAACAAGAAGTTGAACAATCAGATAAAAATTAAGGAAGACGAAGAATCGAAAAATGTTCAAGGATTCATTAAAACAACGAATGATCTACCTTGACAGTTAATGATTAGATGTTAAAAGATATTGTTTAACATGCTTAATGGTCTATCGGGTTACCAATGGGCTTCTAGGCGTGTGTCGCCAAAACTAGAAATTGTAAAAGTACAATGAAGATAATTGCGAATAGTAAAAGTGCTGAAAAGGTTCAGGATTTACTGTATTTTGTGAAGCCTCAGCATGTGGAGATAGATCATTAAAAGCTTGGGAAACCTTGAACATTTTTCTTACTCTGAACAAGAAGGGAAATGAGAAGGATAAAGCTGAAGAAATATTACAAAAGGAATACACATTGAAGCATTGTTGATGATCTATGAATGGTTGAGAAAGTGTTGATGGTGATAATTATGGTGGAGTAATGAGAGACTAGTATAGTTAATTTGATAATTGACGATCGAAGGGACTTTTGCTGTCATGGTATTATTTCGGTGCTTGACTTTAAATTATGAATTCGTTTTCACATTGTTTTCCATCGTCTTTTCATTGTTAATCATAAAACACTTGACCATAGACATCATTTGTTGTTTCTTATATCCTTATAGTTCTGGTTTAATCTTTTGGTTCTTTCAAGTCTCAACCACTTGTTAACCACAACATCGTCTGACAACACGACGCCCACGGCGATCATTATATTCCAAGTTTTGCTGTCGATTCAATGTACACAATTCATCCAGTAATTCATAAAAGGCTTTCCAATGTCTAGAGCGCGAAAAAAGAGAAAAAGAAATCAAATTAGAAAAATGAATACAGATGTAGTTATTAGAGGGTCAAATGTTGATCATTGAGGTTGTAACTGTTTTTATTGGAATCAATTGTTGTATAAAATCAAAATTATTGAACTGTGTAAACAAGGTTCACGTTTGTTTTGGGTCATGAACCGGTTATCATCTGTTTAAACAGTTACAGGAAGAAACGAAATTTAAGGTAACTCATGAAAGGAGACTTCATTCTGGTCAGGAACCGTTTTTTGGGTTATCAAGTTAAAAATAAATTGACTGACCTGATACTTATTTTTAATAAAGATTGACTGTCCTAACTTGTTTCTTACAGAGCTATTCAATACCTAACCGAAATTGATAATATACAAATTTACTAGACTTTACGAGACTCTAGCTTCAGAGACTGTTGACACTGTTTAATGACAATAAGCCACAGCTGTTTAGCCGCATCCAATTGTAAAGTAACCCAATTTTGTTTATAATCAACCAAGAATCTAATGCTATTAGCAGTTATTTGTAAGAAAAAAATGTGTGTTGACTTACCTGATGAACTCACTAATTGAAGTTAAAAATGTCCTGAGAAACACACCAATGAAATATAAATTTAATCCTAGAACAGGAGCGACAATATACCAACGGTTAAAGAAATTTTCACCAATTAGATTCATAATCACAATGAACAAATTGAATGATTAAACGATGGCTTGAAGATCAATGATTTGATGAGAAGTAAACTGGTTAAGAAAAATAAGTTGTCATGTATTTTCAATATCACGAGATAAGTCAGTTTTGTTGCGAAATAAAAACTGGGACCGATCTGGAGTTGAATAATTTTATTTTATTGATCTTGCGGGATTTACTTTGCGAACTCACAAACATGTAAAGCTGGATGGCCTTCAGAATTGAAATCAACTAAAAGTTATTTCAGGATAATGAGTGAGATTGAGCAAGGAAGGGGAGAGAAAGAACAAGAGAGACAGTAGAGAGAAAAATGTGAGTTTCAAGAGAGTCAAATGAAACAGGTAACTTGAAATCTTTCTTCTCACTCTTTCAACCTTACTTTTTGACAATTGTTTTGGTTTCTGTATTTAATTTGGTGTAATTGTTGCTGGATCTCTCTGGCAATTTTGTCCCATAGTGATTAAGATAATGATTATTATGTCAAAAAAGTATAGATTAATCTGACAAAGTTGTCCAAATTTGACAGCTTCATCTATATCAGTGAGATGAACTGGAAAAACAATGTATATTACAATATGTTAAAAGGAGACCAAAATATTGAGTATTAGTATGCATTATCTGTTCAAGATAATCTAGTTATCATGGAATGTTGGAAATTTTAATTTCAGGTATACGACCTCGAAACCTCATCCAATGGTAATCCTGAATATTATAGTTTCTAAGACAGTATAAAATCACATTATTGATGAAAGATAATTGTGAAGTACCTGCTGATCAAAATGATGGCCAACACTTGATTAAGTTAACACCTTTTTAAGCTAAGCTTTATTGATATTTAATTGCTTTTGATAGTTCAATGGTTGATATTGGACTAACTTGAAGATGGGTGAATTACAATTCATCTTTTCTAAGTGTGGTTCTCATTGAAATTTAAGAGCAAGAATTAGCTCCATGAATTCATTACATGGAGGAAATTTAATGCAAGAGGCAAAAGTATGTAATGTGCATAATAGATGTCGACACCATGTTCATAAAAACACATTAGGTTTAGCCACGCCTGCAACGCCATTTTCCGAGGACAGTTTCTGAGCCTTTGTAAACCAAATGCTTAAACCAAACCAAACAATCTATTTTTCCTCTGGTTTTTTTGATTCTGTTAGTTGTTACTGTTCATAAGTTAATTTAATTAATATCATCATTATCCCTGTAATATTGACTCATTATTATGTCCACTACTAGTGGCTCCAGCCCTGCTTCCATAACATCTCCGATTGATACTGGTGACGATTATTTTGACAAAGGTAATACTAGTGAACAGCATAAATTACCTGATGAAGAGACAAGCAAAGACAAGGGAAATCAAAATGGAGAGGAGCTTGATTTCGAGGAAGAGGACAACGAGTCTTTGGAGGAAGGTGAAGAGGAAAGTGATGGTGATGAAGGTTTAACGAATGAAAACAATGAGGACAGGAACATTGGTAATGTCGGTGACTCAAAAGATGTTGATATCAAAGAAGTGCAGAGCAAATCTAGGAAAAAAGATGAGGATGAAGAAGACGAAGACGGTGAAGTCAATAGTGAAGAAGAGCTAGAGGAAGGCGAAGTAAAAGAAGACGATGATTCAGAAACCGGTGGTGCTGATGATGAGGCTAATGGACAAAAGAAGACCTTTAAAAAGACTGGAAATTTAACATCCAACTCTAATAATCAAGCTAAAACTAGTATTTGTCGATTTTTTGCTAAAGGCCAATGTACTTGGGGTCTGAATTGTCGTTTTTTACATTTAGCTGCACCAGGTAAAGTTACTTGGATTTAATCACATTATAATCTGGTGAAATCTAATCTTGCTATTTTGTCTTTCACAGTTGTTGCTTTACCAATAAAACTACCAAATCAACGAGGATTTCCTTACCAAGGTTGGTCTTGCAAATGCTTGCTGGTTTATTTGCTCAACATGAAGAGATTTTTCAACAGTTCAAGTTTATCTTCAACGTATTTTTTCTTTGTTTTAATACCAAAATATTAGCCAAGTTTATTGAAAATTATATTTCACTTAAGATGCGGAATATTTTTGTTGCAAATTATATCAATGTTGTATCTCAGCTGTTAGAGTATAGTATTGGATTAGTTGACATTTATTTGTTTAGTATTGTTTGACTATTGTAAACGGAACATTTTCATGTGTCTCGGCAATTTAAATTCTCCTTTTAACTACTTGTTTTTTATCTTTTCATCAGTCGGACTCAATCCCACTGGACTTCATCCTACCGGTATGCACCCAACAGGAATTCATCCAACCGGTGCTCACCCTACTGGTCCTCATAATGTCGCTCATACAACAGGAGCTCATCCCACTGGACATCATTCAATACCTCGTAATACATTAATTTTGCAAATCAATTTTTATTTATTTTGATATTCAATCCTTATTTATTAAAATTTATTTTATACTAGGTCCACCGCTTAATCGTCATCAAGCTGCTGCTTTAGCAGGAACAACAATTCACCCACCTCATCCACCATCATCATCACAATCATCATCTAGTAATACCGATGCAGCTTGGGTTAGAGGCTTACGTAATGCAAAGGAAATGCTTGTTAAAGCGAACAAGAGGAAAGAAGAAGAAAGTGATTTCGAGAAAAGATTTAATGCTACGGCTGAGGATGAAGCTACATCTCATTCTAAACACTCTCATCACTCAAGAGAATCACCAGAATCGGGAGATTATGGGGATAGAAGGTCTGCTCATAGTTATCACGCAAGAGAAAGAGAAAAAAGATCTCATAGGGAAGGAAATCGTAGAGACGAAACTAGGGAGGCTAGGGAGGCTAGAGATATAAGAGAAAGGGAGTCTAGAGAAACTAGAGATAGAGATAACCGAGAAAGAGAACCCAGAGATGAGTACTGGAATACTGAATATGAAAGGAGAAGGCGATTAGCTTTCGAATCAGCGCCTTGGAATGATGAACAATCACCTCCGCCTGCTCCAACTAGAGGTAATGTACGCCCAAGAGAGGCAGCTGAAATGTATAGAGACCCTTGGCGTCGGTCCAAAAGTCCACCAGCTAACAGGAGCGGTGGAAGGCGAGCAGATGTTTCCACTGCTAGCAAAAGAAGTCATAGTTTGTCATCTATTAGCGGCTCTGAGAGTGGCTCAGAATTAAGTGGTTCTGAGTCAATGTCTGGGTCATCTTTCAGTGGATCAGACGTATCTTATTCTGATGCCACTGAAGCTTCTGGACGATCACCTAGAGAGGGACGTCTGAAATCAAAGTCCGGCAAACCAAGATCACATAAAGATAAAACTCGGCCTAACCCTGACCAACCTGGGCATCACACTAGTACTAGAGATAGAAGTGGAACTAGTGGACAGCCTCCCAAAGCAGCCCAAGCACGTGAAAAAACGGGCTCCGTTCAAGTATCAAAAAATCGATCAAATCGTAGCTCAATAGATGAAGAAGCAAGTGGAAGCGGTCCAAGAAAAAAATCTGGTCCAATTCCAACGGCAGCTCCTATTTCTAAACCAAGAAGAGATTCCTGGTCAGATTCAGATTCAGGATCGATGAGTCAAAGTGATAGTTCTCTGTATTCTGGTTCAGAAAGTGGTGAAAGCGATGCCTTTTCTGGAGGTAGTGATGCACCTTTAGAAGACGATAGAAGAACCAAAGGGTATCGAAATAGAAGGGAAGCTAAACCTCATCCATCATCTACTAGACAAACTTATGACTCGGTTAGAAGGGCGCCACAAAGAAGTAGAACCAGTGATTCACCACCACCACCGCCATCCTCATCTTCCCATCACTCTAGTAATCCCAAAAGAATGAAAATGTCAACAAGTGCAAGCACATCTTCCTCCTCAAACAGGGAAAATAATCCAATGAAGAATAGACATTCCTCAACGATACCTTCAGACGACTTACCAACAAGCTCACCTCAACAGGTGTCTAAAAAATTGCTCCATACACCTACTTCACCTAATGATGGTCCGAAAAAAAATCCAATTAAGATGACTTTCAAAAAGAAGGTTAGTTCCTAAAGTGGATTGTAATTTAAGACTCCAGAAACAATTGTAACAAACAAAAAAAATCACCTTCAATCGAATTATAAATATCTTTATAAAATGGAGAATCATTCAATATCTTTTCGGAATATCTCATACTCTTCTCCTCTCTATTCCCGCCCGTTATAGCATTCAAATTTGAGGACAGACCGGGTTATAACTGCTAAATTGAATGGTGGTAAAAGTGATGAGGAAAGTGGGGAGGAAGAGGAATCGGAGCCAGTCTCTGGTGATCCACATCAACAGATATCACCTTCACCTTGCGCTGATGCCGATGATTTTGATGCAGAAGATAATGAAATTGATGAAGGAGATAAATCCAGCATTATGAATGATCCTTTAATTGATTCAAACCATAGTGATAATGATGAGAATGATTTTGAAGAAGGAGAAGAATATGAAAATGAAAATGAAGATGACGATGACGATATTGATGATGTTTCCCTCCATCAAAAAGATAAACAACAACAGATTCAAAGAATTTCCAATTCATCTTGTAAATCAGAAAAGTCATCTACAGTAATATCAACTCCATCAACTTGCTCATCTCCAAGTTCAACTAAAAATTCAAAAGATGGCTCATCTCGACGAGAGCATTTATTAAAACAACTTGAGGCTGTAGAGGCTATGATTGCCAAAAAGAAAGCCAAACTCCATTGATTCAGCCATCTTGTTAGGTTAAACTAAAAAATTCATAAAAAGTCTTTTAAAATTCACTATCACAATTGTATTTCCCTGAACCTATTGGAATCCCTCACTCCCTTCTCCTCCCTTCCCTTTAGCCCTTAACGAAAACAAAGGTCTACTTGATGATGTAACTCAATTGTGTACTTTATTGGATTGAAAATATCCTCTTTTTTCATCAAGTCTCAAATTTATATCTTTTTCCTTATTGATCTGAAGCGCCTGTTAATCCTCTTTTTGTCAGATTCACAGAAAATATCCATCAATTCTTTAAGGAAACTCATTTTATGTTTTGTTATATGTTCATGCGGTATTCAAATATTTTAAGTAACATTTAGTGCATTTTTCTTCCCCGCTCCTTCATGATAGCAATTCAAAAATTTGAGTACAACTATGTTTAGTCTTTCATTTTATCCAGTCTAATTTTTCTTCGCTTGCCAATTTATAAATCATTAACTAACTCTTACTAGTCAAAAATAGTGATTACATCTATCTACAATTTTACCTGAAGCATTGAAGGGATTTAAACGCGAATGTTGAATTAGAATTGAAATTTTTAGAAAATGGAAGGCGATTTAATTAAGTTTATAAATACAATGAACTAAAATGTAGCTCTAGCACTCATTGATCTTAAATTACGATAAACACGAGCTGGTGCACGACCAAGAATTAAATTACTTATAGCTGTCCTTGCTGTCCGAATGTTTTGGTAAGATCCTAAAATGTGTATTTTATGGTCAGCAATAACAATCCGAGTCTTAGTCACATTTTCAATGGTAAATTTGGTTCGACCATTTTTACCAGCGATTCGCCCAATAGCTCTAGACAAGTGGTCACCTTTCAAATTTTTGACATCTTCAATTTGAAATGAATCTAAAAATAGTTGGTCCAATCGTAGCAAGGCAATTGCGTCTTCCACATCGAACCCAAGGGCAAAGGCTTGGACAAAATCAGCAGCCTTTTGGATAGCATCTTTATCTTTAGTCTCTGGACACGTCCGTATTTGCACTAATCTAGATTTCATATTAAATCTAACTTGAACTAGAAGTGTTTCAACCAAAGGCTTGTAAATTTTAATCCAGTTCTCTTTAAGAGGGGTTATCCGATGTGGTGGAATCGGTACATCTCGTCGACCAGAATCCATAATTGATAAATCACAAAGTCAAAGATACAATAAATTACTTAAATAGAGTGATGAATTAATAATCAATGTTTTCAATTAATTTTTAAACAACATTGATCTTTAAAAACCAAACAAGTTGCAAAACCTGTCCACGCCGTGTCTCGGGGACTGTATTCTAACTACAATCTGTTAAAGCACCAGACTTATTTTATCAACCCCTCTATTTGGCGCCAAATTCAGCTGTTGCCGTCTGTGTTTACATCTTCAATCAATCGTTTCAAAATTATTCTGCTATTGTTTCCTTCTTTTCCTTTTGATATTTAATAAATCTTAATCGTTATTATTAATAATAAAATATTAATCTTTATTTTGGTGTCAACTTTTCTATTAAAAATGGTCGTTGAAGAAAATTTACCTTGGGTTGAAAAATATCGACCAAACACTTTGGAAGAATTGATTTCTCATGGAGATATTGTGTCTACAATTCAAAAATTTATCTCTGAAAGACGGATTCCTCATTTATTATTTTATGGTCCTCCTGGTACTGGTAAAACGACAACCATTCTAGCAATCGCTAAACAGCTTTATTCACAGAAGGAATTTTCTTCCATGGTTTTGGAGTTGAATGCGTCCGATGACAGAGGAATTGGAATTATTAGAGGACCTGTTCTAAGTTTTGCCAGTACCAAAGCAATTTTCAAAACTGGCTTCAAATTGGTCATTTTGGACGAAGCTGATGCTATGACTCAAGATGCTCAAGATGCACTAAGACGAATAATGGAAAAGTATACTGAAAATACAAGATTTTGCCTCATCTGTAATTATTTATCCAAAATCAAGCCAGCTATACAATCAAGATGTACCCGATTTAGATTTGGTCCACTCAGCTCAAACCAAATTGTACCCCGTTTAGACTATATAGTCTCAAAGGAAAATGTCAATATTACAGAAGATGGCAAAAAGGCGATTCTTGAATTATCTGGAGGTGATATGAGAAAAGTTATTAATCTTTTGCAGAGTACTCATCTAGGTTTCGATGTTGTTGATGAACTTAATGTTTATTTATGCTGTGGCCAACCTCTTAAAGCAGATATTGAATCAGTTTTGGAATGTTTATTAACAATGCCTTTCAAGGATTCACAACGTCGTTTGATAACTATACAAAAGGAGAAAGGGATTGCCTTACAGGATATTCTGAGTCAAATTCATTTAGCAGTACATAAAATTGATGTCTCGCTCAAGAATAAGATTGAAATTCTTCGTAAAATGGCAAACATTGAGTATTACATATCGTCAGGAGCTAATGAAACATTACAACTGTCTGCACTCGTAGCCGCTTTTAAACCAGCAAGAAAAACATGTACTTAATGAAATTTACTCAAAAGTCTTAATTTTATGAAACATGTCAATTATTCAAAGTTTAAAACGTACAGAATTGTCTTGATTACACTCAATATCTCATTTGCTGAATAAACGATAAAATACTTAATTCTTAAGATTTGATTTTTTTCCCATTCCTCTATTTAATTCCATTTTTTAACGTACGGGTCATCATTATTTAAACAGCTTTTATCCATCACTAATTACCTTCCCTAACATACAATCATTCTCGTTTGTTTAGAACTAACTTTCATATGAACAAAACCAGAATTCAAAAGAGTAAAACCGGCTGACTGTAAAGTCACAGAATTTTCATAACAACAAAACCGCGTTCAAATGACCAAAACTCATTTTCATAAGACAAAAACTCTCGAGTTAAAGAATCATCTTTATTCAGGGTGTAAACTGTTTCGTCAATTGTTAATTGCTTCTTTTCTGAGACATCTTGGAATATAAGTTAACCTTGTAATGCTGAATACAGCAACAAATTTTTTTTGGACAAAAAATTTCAAAATTTTGACTTAGAACCCTGTAGTTCAGGCCAACTATCTCAGAGCACTCTGGGGCAGTGATTGCTGATACAACAAACATTCCTCTACAACCTGACCTACTTTTCCAGTTCAGACCTATTGTGCTTCTTTGTGACAAACCGTTTAAATAAATGCCCACTTATCAAAATAACCACACTAAAATCATAAAGTTTAAGGATGATGTATTGGGCAGAGAAAAATATGATAACAATTAAAATTTGTTGAAAACTAACATTGGCTCGTATGCATTAAACTCGAATTAATGAGCGTCGAAAATATATAAATGAATCAATGAAATGATTTCATTTCGATAAAAAAAATCTCAAAATTCAAAGTTGCTAAAAACAAAACTAAATGTTTCAAGTTAAAACGAGAGTTTTGCAGACAAATCAACGTTTTTTTATTTTATCAAACTAAAGTCTAAACTAAATAAACACAAAATAGATTTCAATTGGTTGGCAACTCGGAACAAGCTTCAACTGTGGTTGATGGTGCTTTCTCTTTATCACTCCTCTCGTCCACCATCCATTTAGCCCAATCAGCTTGCATTGACGCAGGTACATCAAAAGACTTTTTAATTGCACCCGTCGCATCGGTAACTTTAGTGACTTTGTCATCATCAATACAAAGTATGGCACCCCAAGGAAATAATTTTGGTCGCTGTTTTACGCCAATTTTGCTCTTGGCTATACCGTCTTGAGTTATTCTAGCCTTACAGGATATTGACAAATAACGATCACTCGAGTTCCGTTTGGTACCAACTACATGCTTATAAAGCAATCTTATGTCTGTAGTTTTGTAGGGACATTTTTCATATGCACATACAAATACACAGAAATTTTTTTGCCTGTATTCTTTGGCTGCTTTTTCTTGGTTTACTAGCATTCTCCTCTCTCCTTCTTCATCACTACTATCTTGACCAGCCCACTTTTTCAGCTTTTCCAAACTCACACATTTCATCGTACTCAACTCGACTGGATCGATGAATCTATCCTCAGGAATTATGGACCGCTCCCATTCACCACCGCGAAGAATACCATACTTTGTTCGAGCGTAAATTGGAGTGTTGACGGGATGATAATCCATATCAGCATGGGTCAGAACGTATTGTTTTAAAGGTACTGGTAGACGTTCGATTTTTTTTCGCTTCTTTGATTGTTTCTTTTTAGAACGAGGTTTAGTTGTTCCATTCAATTCACCAGGTTGTTGTGGTTCATATGGTATATTTCTATCTCCTTCTCTGTTATCATTATTGTTGTTGTCATCATTTCCATGATTATCATCGTTATTACCATCACGATCTTCACCATTGCCTGCGTTATCGTTGTTATCTGTCTCTCCATTCTCTTGTCGTATGCTGAAATCAATGCTCAATGGTCGTCCTGATGGCGAAGGAACTGTACCCGGACTGTATGCGAATTCATAGTCCAAGGTGCAATCATCATTAAATGCCAAACCCTCAGATGTACCAGGAATAGGTTCTTGTGCGGTCGCTGTAAAAGAGTGAAGCAAACAAGAAATTAACAATATTTATAAGTTTGTCAATGCAAGTTTGCCGCAATTAGAGCTGTAGTTCACGCCGCTGAGTATAGATGGCGCTCGCAATGAAAAATCGGCCTGAGGGAGCCTTGGAAAGAATCCAAAGCATAGGATAGGGAGTCAAAGTGAGAAGAGACAAAGTTAAAGAAAAGAAAACGAAATCTTACCTAGATAAAAATAAGAGCTGGCGATGCAACACGAATACAAAAGCATAAAAGGGTACATCTTTTGGCTGAATAAGGAAAATATTTCCAAAAACATAAAACTAAAACTGGTTGCGAGATGATGTCTCTGCGAGGCCTTTTGTTGTTTTCACCAATGAATGACATATGATGGACCGAGCGAAAGATTCATATCTAACAAGTTTTTAGGCGCCATATTCAAACTCGGTTTTCGTTAAATTGTTGGTTTTGCTTATTACCCATTTATTAAGTTGATATGGTTGTACTTATTGGTATCAAAAGTCATCTGAGGTATAGTGTCCAATAGCCACACTAAAATCATAAAGTTTAAGGATGATGTATTGGGCAGAGAAAAATATGATAACAATTAAAATTTGTTGAAAACTAACATTTGCTCGTATGCATTAAACTCGAATTAATGAGCGTCGAAAATATCTGAATGAATCAATGAAATGATTTCATTCGATAAAAAAATTCTCAAAATTTAAAGTTGCTAAAAACAAAACTAAATGTTTCAAGTTAAAACGAGAGTTTTGCAGACAAATCAACGTTTTTTTATTTTATCAAACTAAAGTCTCATATGTGTACAAGTTTGAATCATATTGATAGTTCAAGTATCAAAAATCGATCAAATCGTAGTTCAATAAATGAAGAAGCAAGGGGAAGCGGTCCAAGAAAAAAATCTGGTCCAATTCCAACGGCAGCTCCTATTTCTAAACTAAGAAGAGATTCCTGGTCAGATTCAGATTCAGGATCGATGAGTCAAAGTGATAGTTCTCTGTATTCTGGTTCAGAAAGTGGTGAAAGCGATGCCTTTTCTGGAGGTAGTGATGCACCTTTAGAAGACGATAGAAGAACCAAAGGGTATCGAAATAGAAGGGAAGCTAAAGCTCATTTATCATCTACTAGACAAACTTATGACTCGGTTAGAAGGGCGCCACAAAGAAGTAGAACCAGTGATTCACCAACAGGAAACAGGGAAAATAATCCAATGAAGAATAGACATTCCTCAACGATACCTTCAGACGACTTACCAACAAGCTCACCTCAACAGGTGTCTAAAAAATTGCTCCATACACCTACTTCACCTAATGATGGTCCGAAAAAAAATCCAATTAAGATGACTTTCAAAAGAAGGTTAGTTCCAAAAGTGGATTGTAATTTAAGACTCCAGAAACAATTGACGATATTGATGATGTAGCCCTTAATCAAAAAGATAAACAACAACAACAGATTCAAAGAATTTCCAATTCATCTTGTAAATCAGAAAAGGCATCTACAATAATATCAACTCCATCAACTTGCTCATCTCCAAGCTCAAATCCATAATTGATAAATCACAAAGTCAAAGAGACAATAAATTACTTAAATAAAGTGATAAATTAATAATCAAAGTTTTCAATCAATTTTTAGTCCGAGTCTTAGTCACATTTTCAATGGTAAATTTGGTTCGACCATTTTTACCAGCGATTCGCCCAATAGCTCTAGACAAGTGGTCACCTTTCAAATTTTTGACATCTTCAATTTGAAATGAATCTAAAAATAGTTGGTCCAATCGTAGCAAGGCAATTGCGTCTTCCACATCGAACCCAAGGGCAAAGGCTTGGACAAAATCAGCAGCCTTTTGGATAGCATCTTTATCTTTAGTCTCTGGACACGTCCGTATTTGCACTAATCTAGATTTCATATTAAATCTAACTTGAACTAGAAGTGTTTCAACCAAAGGCTTGTAAATTTTAATCCAGTTCTCTTTAAGAGGGGTTATCCGATGTGGTGGAATCGGTACATCTCGTCGACCAGAATCCATAATTGATAAATCACAAAGTCAAAGATACAATAAATTACTTAAATAGAGTGATGAATTAATAATCAATGTTTTCAATTAATTTTTAAACAACATTGATCTTTAAAAACCAAACAAGTTGCAAAACCTGTCCACGCCGTGTCTCGGGGACTGTATTCTAACTACAATCTGTTAAAGCACCAGACTTATTTTATCAACCCCTCTATTTGGCGCCAAATTCAGCTGTTGCCGTCTGTGTTTACATCTTCAATCAATCGTTTCAAAATTATTCTGCTATTGTTTCCTTCTTTTCCTTTTGATATTTAATAAATCTTAATCGTTATTATTAATAATAAAATATTAATCTTTATTTTGGTGTCAACTTTTCTATTAAAAATGGTCGTTGAAGAAAATTTACCTTGGGTTGAAAAATATCGACCAAACACTTTGGAAGAATTGATTTCTCATGGAGATATTGTGTCTACAATTCAAAAATTTATCTCTGAAAGACGGATTCCTCATTTATTATTTTATGGTCCTCCTGGTACTGGTAAAACGACAACCATTCTAGCAATCGCTAAACAGCTTTATTCACAGAAGGAATTTTCTTCCATGGTTTTGGAGTTGAATGCGTCCGATGACAGAGGAATTGGAATTATTAGAGGACCTGTTCTAAGTTTTGCCAGTACCAAAGCAATTTTCAAAACTGGCTTCAAATTGGTCATTTTGGACGAAGCTGATGCTATGACTCAAGATGCTCAAGATGCACTAAGACGAATAATGGAAAAGTATACTGAAAATACAAGATTTTGCCTCATCTGTAATTATTTATCCAAAATCAAGCCAGCTATACAATCAAGATGTACCCGATTTAGATTTGGTCCACTCAGCTCAAACCAAATTGTACCCCGTTTAGACTATATAGTCTCAAAGGAAAATGTCAATATTACAGAAGATGGCAAAAAGGCGATTCTTGAATTATCTGGAGGTGATATGAGAAAAGTTATTAATCTTTTGCAGAGTACTCATCTAGGTTTCGATGTTGTTGATGAACTTAATGTTTATTTATGCTGTGGCCAACCTCTTAAAGCAGATATTGAATCAGTTTTGGAATGTTTATTAACAATGCCTTTCAAGGATTCACAACGTCGTTTGATAACTATACAAAAGGAGAAAGGGATTGCCTTACAGGATATTCTGAGTCAAATTCATTTAGCAGTACATAAAATTGATGTCTCGCTCAAGAATAAGATTGAAATTCTTCGTAAAATGGCAAACATTGAGTATTACATATCGTCAGGAGCTAATGAAACATTACAACTGTCTGCACTCGTAGCCGCTTTTAAACCAGCAAGAAAAACATGTACTTAATGAAATTTACTCAAAAGTCTTAATTTTATGAAACATGTCAATTATTCAAAGTTTAAAACGTACAGAATTGTCTTGATTACACTCAATATCTCATTTGCTGAATAAACGATAAAATACTTAATTCTTAAGATTTGATTTTTTTCCCATTCCTCTATTTAATTCCATTTTTTAACGTACGGGTCATCATTATTTAAACAGCTTTTATCCATCACTAATTACCTTCCCTAACATACAATCATTCTCGTTTGTTTAGAACTAACTTTCATATGAACAAAACCAGAATTCAAAAGAGTAAAACCGGCTGACTGTAAAGTCACAGAATTTTCATAACAACAAAACCGCGTTCAAATGACCAAAACTCATTTTCATAAGACAAAAACTCTCGAGTTAAAGAATCATCTTTATTCAGGGTGTAAACTGTTTCGTCAATTGTTAATTGCTTCTTTTCTGAGACATCTTGGAATATAAGTTAACCTTGTAATGCTGAATACAGCAACAAATTTTTTTTGGACAAAAAATTTCAAAATTTTGACTTAGAACCCTGTAGTTCAGGCCAACTATCTCAGAGCACTCTGGGGCAGTGATTGCTGATACAACAAACATTCCTCTACAACCTGACCTACTTTTCCAGTTCAGACCTATTGTGCTTCTTTGTGACAAACCGTTTAAATAAATGCCCACTTATCAAAATAACCACACTAAAATCATAAAGTTTAAGGATGATGTATTGGGCAGAGAAAAATATGATAACAATTAAAATTTGTTGAAAACTAACATTGGCTCGTATGCATTAAACTCGAATTAATGAGCGTCGAAAATATATAAATGAATCAATGAAATGATTTCATTTCGATAAAAAAAATCTCAAAATTCAAAGTTGCTAAAAACAAAACTAAATGTTTCAAGTTAAAACGAGAGTTTTGCAGACAAATCAACGTTTTTTTTATTTATCAAACTAAAGTCTCATATGTGTACAAGTTTGAATCATATTGATAGTTCAAGTATCAAAAATCGATCAAATCGTAGTTCAATAAATGAAGAAGCAAGGGGAAGCGGTCCAAGAAAAAAATCTGGTCCAATTCCAACGGCAGCTCCTATTTCTAAACTAAGAAGAGATTCCTGGTCAGATTCAGATTCAGGATCGATGAGTCAAAGTGATAGTTCTCTGTATTCTGGTTCAGAAAGTGGTGAAAGCGATGCCTTTTCTGGAGGTAGTGATGCACCTTTAGAAGACGATAGAAGAACCAAAGGGTATCGAAATAGAAGGGAAGCTAAAGCTCATTTATCATCTACTAGACAAACTTATGACTCGGTTAGAAGGGCGCCACAAAGAAGTAGAACCAGTGATTCACCACCACCACCGCCATCCTCATCTTCCCATCACTCTAGTAATCCCAAAAGAATGAAAATTGCTCTATACTCCTGATGGGAAAGATTTTGACGAAGAAGAAGAAGAATATGAAAATGAAGATGACGATATTGATGATGTTTCCCTTTATCAAAAAGATAAACCACAACAGATTCAAAGAATTTCCAATTCTTCTTGAAAATCAGAAAAGTCATCTAAAATAATATCAACTCCATCAACTTGCTCATCTCCAAGTTCAACAATTCGTTGATACAGCAATAAATGGAAAGTATATATCAGTTAAATAAATCACAATGATCGACAAATAGTGTTTTACTTGATCAATCATAATATCATATGGGATGAAAAGAGTCGAACTTCAAGAGCTTTTCTTATCGTTTTAATAATAATCATGATAATTGGAAAAATTGCTTAACGTTGGTTTATACACGAATTAACTAGACACTAGTTGAATATTTACAGTTTAGTTTAGTTTAGTTTAGTTTTGTTTTGTTTTGGTTAAAACAGGAAGTTGTACTATTTTGACATCGAAATGCAATCATTTCATGGGTTGATTTTTTTTACCTTCGTCCCTACCATTTTAATGCATTCAATGCATATGCATCAATGTAAGTTGTTTAAGAATTTTAATTGTCTGTTGAATCTTCTGTTATTGAATGGCTCATCTCGACGAGAGCATTTATTAAAACAACTTGAGGCTGTAGAGGCTATGATTGCCAAAAAGAAAGCCAAACTCCAATAATTCAGCCATCTTGTTAGGTTAAACTCCAAATTCATAAAAAGTCTTTTAAAATTCACTATCACGATTGTATTTCCCTGAACCTATCTGAATCCCTTCCTCCCTTCTCCTTCCTTTTCTTCAGCCCTTAACGAAAACAAAGGTCTACTTGATGATGTAACTCAATTGTGTACTTTATTAAATTGAAAATATCCTCTTTTTTCATCAAGTCTCAAATTTATATCTCTTTCCTTATTCATCTGAAGCGCCTGTTATCCTCTTTTGTCAGATTCACAGAAAATACCTAAAGCATTGATGGGATCTAAACGCGAATGTTGAATTAGAATTGAATTTTTTAGACAATGGAAAGGCATTTTATTTAACTTTACAAATACAATGAACTAAAATGTAGCTCTAGCACTCATTGATCTTAAATTACGATAAACACGAGCTGGTGCACGACCAAGAATTAAATTACTTATAGCTGTCCTTGCTGTCCGAATGTTTTGGTAAGATCCTAAAATGTGTATTTTATGGTCAGCAATAACAATCCGAGTCTTAGTCACATTTTCAATGGTAAATTTGGTTCGACCATTTTTACCAGCGATTCGCCCAATAGCTCTAGACAAGTGGTCACCTTTCAAATTTTTGACATCATCAATTTGAAATGAATCTAAAATTAGTTGGTTAAAATTATTATTTAAGTCAATACAGAATCGTCTTTAATATGATTGATTTAAACTGAGTCAAAGTTTCTCTTTGTGTCCGTGTAACTATACTGTTACCTAATTTTTTGAGAATAGATGAACCAATTTTTGCAGCCTTTTCTTTAACTGTAATTACAGGGACCTACCAGTAATTTGGACTCTGTTGCAATAGCTGGTTTACACTATTCGTCGAGCAACATAATGTATTATTTTCAATTTTCCTCAATCTAGCAAATTTAAACTAAAATGTTGCCAAAATGCGGCTGATTACGCTTTTTCAATACTAGGGTCATACTACTGCTAATACTGGTATGACCATTGGAAAATTAGTCTAAATTACTGACAGGTCTCTTCATGCTTTTGTACACTATTCTAAGTTGAGTCAACATAGTTGACTGTTTCAAACTCACAAGGGAAGTAACCTAGCTTGTATGAGCAGATCAAAATGAAAGTAGATTCAATGGAAAGCCCGCGTCATGAAATGCCAATAAAAACACTAATCGCGTATGGAGCAAATTGATCTGAAAAAAGTAACAGGGTCTGAGTGACAGATAGTAACAGATCTGAACAAGTAACATTTTGATCTGCGTGTACCAGCTAGGTTATTTTCTTACAAGTTTCTTTCTGTATAAGTTTTCAAACCTTTGGTTATCTCAAAATTTTACCTATTGATATTTTTGTTTTGAATCAATTCAGGCTACTACGAAGCATGTAATGCAGATCCTGATTGCCTTCAATATTGTCCAATTATTCCTTTGCATGGTCGTTCTGTTGAAACTAATCTTGAAAAAACAAAATGGACGGACGTAGAGTTTAAATTATTTACAAGCTCTAATATTGATTCTGCGACGGATTTTAATTATAATTTTCAATTTGAAGATTTACAACATTCAGAATTCGTTGAGACGGCTAAAGTCAAATTCATCATACATGGATTTTTTACTGCATACAGTGAAAATAACTGGTTAGGGGTAAGTGCTCATGTAGAAAAAGATATTCAACTCATGTTTTCAAAAATTTCTTTTTTCAGTCAATGAAAAATAAGCTTATAAAGGATAAGCCGTTTAATTACAATGTTTTCGTTGTAAATTGGCCAAAGTTTGCTATTACTTTGAACTATTTAGCAGCTAAGCACGACACTGAAACCGTTGGAAATGCTCTGGCCGAGTTTATATTCAAATTATGCAATTTTTCAAGTTTGAAATCGTCCGATATCCATCTGATTGGCCATTCATTAGGAGCCCATATAGCTGGGTTTGCAGGTAATGCGCTCAAAAAAAAAGGACTTATAATTGGCCGAATCACTGGGCTCGATCCAGCTGGACCTCTATTTAAGTACGATGATGGCACACGCCGTTTGGACCGATTTGATGCAGCATATGTGGAAAATTTGCATACAGGTATCGGAGATTTTATTGGAAACGGTAAGATTTTATTAATTTATTATATTCTTTCAGCTCATTCGAAAAATTATGTCCAATTACTAGGTTATGGGTTTGCAAAACCTTTAGGGGATATCGACTTTTTCATTAATGGAGGATTTGCGCAACCTGATTGTAGTCTCTGGAACTTGCCAAGAAATATTTTGAAATATGGATGGGTTGAAGGTAATTTTTACTTACATCAAAAATTGCAAATAAAGTTTTACAGTGAATTTTCTTTCTGCAGGTTTCGCAAATACATATGCATGTAATCACATGTTTGCATATGTTCTTATGCTTGAGGATACGGAACAGTTTAGTGAAAACTGTCAACTTGTTGGCTTTCAATGCAATAATTACAGAGATTATCGAGGCGGAAAATGCAATGATTGCGGATCTAATGGTAAAGCATGTGCTGTAATTTCGTTATTCGGCGAGGATGACCGTAACTCAGGCCAAGGATACGTGGAACCTCAATCAAGTTATGCATCAATAAAAGTTTATTTGGATACCCTTAAAAAGCCTCCGTATTGTGGTAAGTTTTTTATTTTATCACTACACGTTGGCCGAATCTCAAGAAAGTCTTTTTTTCAGCTCAAAACTATGCAATTGAAATTAAATTAGCCAAAAATTCAGAAGTCCCGAATGGAAAATTTGAATTGACTCTCGAAGGTACATACTTTGGATCAGCGAGAAAGTTTGTAATCAATAAAGACTTTTCAATAGAACAGGATGATAGAAAGTTTTCCTGCTTGGTGCAACTCGATAAAAATTTGGGGAAAGTAACAAAAGCAACTATAAGATTGTATTATGGCATTTATGACTTGGCTGTTTTTTTCTCAAAACCAAAAATCATCATAGATCATCTGAATGTTAAATACCTAAGTAATATTGACAAGAGGTAAGCTCATGAATCTGAATCTGTCTCTGAATCAAAGCGTACTAATATTTTGGCCATACTTACCCATACAGGATTCGCAATGCATGGTCTGCAAGCATGTGCGCAGAGGAATCGAAAACGAATGAATTGATAAACTTCGTTCCTTGTACTTATGAACGAGTAAGTCTTCACCATCCTGAATCAAGGACTATTAACCATTAGAGAAATTAATGCCCAACTAATAATAATAACATACGCCCGTAATAACATTTTTTTCTTCTATTGATTTTAGTGAACAGCATCGTGGTTCAACTGTCAAATCAAAAATTTCGCCAGCAAAATCCGAAAAAGATATCGAACAATGGTCAAGACAAAAAAATGTTAGAAGTAAATTATCCTTAAAACAAAAATAAAAACGTTATGAGCATAAATTAACCCGAAATTTTCGTCAATTTATTTAACTGTAAAGGCAATGCTAGAAACATTTGCTATTTCTAGTTGATCACTTGGAAATCGATATTCAGAGCGTAAGTTTACAGAGTTTTCAGATGAATGACATTGATTGATGAGATCTAAACGCGAATGTTGAATTAGAATTGAATTTTTTAATAAATGGAAAGGCATTTTACAATCATTCTCGTTTGTTTAGAACCAACATTCAAAAGAGTAAAACCGGCTGACTGTAAAGACACAGAGCTTTCAAAACAGCAAAACCAGCTTTCAAATGACCAAAACCTATTTTCATAAGACAAAAACTCTCGAGTTAAAGAGTTACTCGATTCAGAGTATGCAAATAGGATTATCACTTATTTTTCCAATGAACTTCCATTGAAGATGGTGAATCACAATTAATAAGTCAAAATTTATCAAAATGTTAACTTATGTTCCAAGATGCCTCAGAAAAGAAGCAATTAACAATTAACGAAACAGTCAACACCCTGAATAAAGATGCTTCTTTAACTCGAGAGTTTTTGTCTTATGAAAATGAGTTTTGGTCATTTGAACGCGGTTTTGTTGTTATGAAAATTCTGTGTCTTTACAGTCAGCCGGTTTTACTCTTTTGAATTCTGGTTTTGTTCATATGAAAGTTGGTTCTAAACAAACGAGAATGATTGTATTTAACTTTACAAATACAATGAACTAAAATGTAGCTCTATCACTTATTGATCTTAAATTACGATAAACACGAGCTGGTGCACGACCAAGAATTAAATTACTTATAGCTGTCCTTGCTGTCCGAATGTTTTGGTAAGATCCTAAAATGTGTATTTTATGGTCAGCAATAACAATCCGAGTCTTAGTCACATTTTCAATGGTAAATTTGGTTCGACCATTTTTACCAGCGATTCGCCCAATAGCTCTAGACAAGTGGTCACCTTTCAAATTTTTGACATCGCCAACTTGAAATGAATCTAAAAATAGTTGGTCCAATCGTAGCAAGGCAATTGCGTCTTCCACATCGAACCCAAGGGCAAAGGCTTGGACAAAATCAGCAGCAATATTTTAGAAATTTATTGTATATAATATTGTATTGAAGCCTATCATCAATGAATAAAATATATGCAATATTATTGAAGTGTCACTAATATTGCACATATTGATATAAGCCTTGCATGAATGTTAATTCAAAATATCCGTTAGATTTAGTTCACAATTCTTTTAATAGGTGGATTCTTTTTCCTGTTTGTTTATTAAGTCTGGGTCTGGGGCTATCTTTGCGGGAACAAGTTAAAATCACTAGTTTCCTTTTGATATTTAATAAATCTTAATCGTTATAATTAATAATAAAATATTAATCTTTATTTTGGTGTCAACTTTTCTATTAAAAATGGTCGTTGAAGAAAATTTACCTTGGGTTGAAAAATATCGACCAAACACTTTGGAAGAATTGATTTCTCATGGAGATATTGTGTCTACAATTCAAAAATTTATCTCTGAAAGACGGATTCCTCATTTATTATTTTATGGTCCTCCTGGTACTGGTAAAACGACAACCATTCTAGCAATCGCTAAACAGCTTTATTCACAGAAGGAATTTTCTTCCATGGTTTTGGAGTTGAATGCGTCCGATGACAGAGGAATTGGAATTATTAGAGGACCTGTTCTAAGTTTTGCCAGTACCAAAGCAATTTTCAAAACTGGCTTCAAATTGGTCATTTTGGACGAAGCTGATGCTATGACTCAAGATGCTCAAGATGCACTAAGACGAATAATGGAAAAGTATACTGAAAATACAAGATTTTGCCTCATCTGTAATTATTTATCCAAAATCAAGCCAGCTATACAATCAAGATGTACCCGATTTAGATTTGGTCCACTCAGCTCAAACCAAATTGTACCCCGTTTAGACTATATAGTCTCAAAGGAAAATGTCAATATTACAGAAGATGGCAAAAAGGCGATTCTTGAATTATCTGGAGGTGATATGAGAAAGTTATTAATCTTTTGCAGAGTACTCATCTAGGTTCGATGTTGTGATGAACTTAATGTTTATTTATGCTGTGGCAACTCTTAAAGCAGATATGGATCAGTTTGGAATGTTTATTACAATGCCTTTCAAGGATTCACAACGTCGTTTGATACTATACAAAAGGAGAAAGGGATTGCCTTTACAGGATATTCTGAGTCAAATTCATTTAGCAGTACATAAAATTGATGTCTCGCTCAAGAATAAGATTGAAATTCTTCGTAAAATGGCAAACATTGAGTATTACATATCGTCAGGAGCTAATGAAACATTACAACTGTCTGCACTCGTAGCCGCTTTTAAACCAGCAAGAAAAACATGTACTTAATGAAATTTACTCAAAAGTCTTAATTTTATGAAACATGTCAATTATTCAAAGTTTAAAACGTACAGAATTGTCTTGATTACACTCAATATCTCATTTGCTGGATAAAAAATAAAATCTTTTAATTCTTAAAATGATAATTTGATTAACTTTTAGTAAGATGAATAATGCACAAGTTCAGTTTTCAATAACTAATGAGTTAACTGAAGTTTAAATTAAGATTTATGTAAATTGTGTCATAAATTGAAGGAAGAATTTTACTTTAACAATATTTTTAACGATTTCATTAACATGCTTAGTTTGCTACGTACCTGAAATCCTCGTAACTTCTGAATATATTTAATCAGGTAATAGATGACTATAAAATAAAACTCGATAGCTCAAAATACTCATGCATGGAAACTTCATTACAACACAAGCATGTCAGATTATTCAATTTGGATTTTTCAATGAAGATGTCCCTTTGAAGATGATTTCAAGTCTTTTCTAGTATTTGATTGTAAAGTTATAAGAAGATTAACCGTTATCACCGGCATTAACAATCTGAAACCGTTACGACCGCTTAATGGATGCAGATTGCTAATGATTTTGAGATATGCAACTATCGTCATTATCAAAAACACTAATATTGGCTAATTCATCACAGCTGTTGGGAAAATATCAGCACTAATAAAGTAAAATTTAAACGAAAAATGTGTAAATATCTGTTGAATCAGATGAGATTGAAACTTTTTTAGACTCGAATTTCGAACAAACCTCGTTTGACTGTTTTTTGCTAGTAGCGCCATCTTTGTTCATTATTAAATCCTTGACTTGGCTGAAAGTCTAGCCACGCCCAACATCATCGCCATTTTTAAGGACAAACAAAATAATTTTGTTTTTTTGTGATCATCGTTTTTGTTTCTCTTATTTCTTTTCATCCTCAAATTAATCTTATTCAAACCGTCATTATCCCCTAGATATTCAATTATTATTATGTCCACTTCAAGTGGCTCCAGTCAAGGTGGTATTCCCGGTGCAACAACAGTAACATCTTTAGCCCCTGGAACAAGTGTTGATTCAACGGGCTCAAATCCGGGTTTACTAGGAATTACATCAGTAACCGGAGCAACGCCAGGTCCTAGTGCTGGTTCTTCGGGTCACCATGCATCAACTGTCGGAGCAACTTTACAAGCACCAACAACAGCAGCATTTAAAGATAAGATTGATCCTTTCATGAAAGGCTCATTGAAACGAAAACAGAAAAAATCTCAAGGCTCATCACGGTACAGGCTGACAAGTGATGTTGAATTGCAGCAATTACCATCACTAGAAGGTATGTTGAAACACGAAAAGATTTACCTTTTCTTTTGTTTTTTTCTTATTTTCGATATCATAGAGTTAACAATGTTGCCCTATGTTTCTATTATTCATCTATTCTAATTCGGGTGCATCAATACACATACATGTGTGTATTTGTCTACTCTGTTTTCTTTCTTTATTCCAACATAGATGTACCATCATCTGAGGTTGAAGCGCTTTTCATCAAAAAAGTGAGACAGTGCTGCGTTATTTTTGACTTTATGGACCCCGTTGCAGATCTTAAAGGAAAAGAGATTAAACGAGCTACGCTAAATGAACTTGTTGATTGTTTAAGTAGAGGTCGTTATGTGGTTACAGAGGCTGTCTACCCTGAAATTATTAGAATGATTGCATGCAACTTATTCCGGACATTACCGCCTAGTGAAAATCCCGATTTTGATCCTGAGGAAGATGATCCAACGTTAGAGGCTTCTTGGCCACATCTTCAGTTGGTTTATGAATTCTTTTTAAGATTTTTAGAGTCACACGATTTCCAGCCAAGCATTGGCAAGAAAGTTATCGATCAAAAATTTGTGTTACAGCTCTTGGAGCTGTTTGACAGTGAAGATCCAAGAGAAAGAGACTTTTTGAAAACAGTTTTACACCGGATATACGGAAAATTTTTAGGCCTTCGAGCCTTTATTAGGAAACAAATTAATAACATTTTCTTGCGGTTTATTTATGAAACCGAACACTTCAATGGCATAGGAGAATTACTTGAAATATTAGGAAGGTAAGCAGCATTTATTATAAAGTAACAATGATGAGACCAAGGTTAGACCTGTATTTAAAAAAAGACTCACGAATACTAATTTCAATTTTATGCAATTTCATGAATATTGAAAGTTCATTTTATCAGTGATTCTTATGTCAATTTCTTTCAATATTTTCTCCTTGCCTTTTTTTTGTCGGTCAACCCTTGAGCTTTTCTCATTATTATATGATGTTGAACACTTTAATGCTATATTCCTTCTTTTTACAGCAAGAACGTTCTTGTACATGTTTATATAATTTACTAATAATCTTTTCTTTTCCTCAACTATTCCAATCCTGATTCTATTTCCTTTCCTTCATAGTATAATTAATGGTTTTGCTCTCCCATTGAAGTTAGAACATAAGCAATTTTTGGTCAAAGTCTTGATACCTTTACATAAGCCCAAATGTTTGGGTTTGTATCATCCTCAAGTAAGTTTTCCCTATTGTCTTACCTCCATTTTACGTCTTAAACCTCAAATAGATTTTTAACCTATCATCTGTATTTTTTTCTTTGTTTTTGCGACTATACCCTTATCATCTCTTACGGAGGGATAAATTTCTCAAAACTCATAAAAACATTTTTATGTAACCATCATTAGATTTATGGCGATCATGGTCTTGATTGAACATAACCGGATTGCTTCTTTAATCTATGATTTCTTTTTTTCTCTCTCTCTCCATTCTTTCTCTCCTTCTTTATTTCTTCTCATCTTCCTTGTTATGACATGTTATTAGACATGATAGGAACTTTCAATAACGTTGTCCATTCCGAGCTTCTGAGTTTTAGCATCATATCCTTATTGATATTTTATATTTACTGACGAGTAAATAATAAAACGAATGAGTGATCAAGTTATGAATGAAAGAGTGTGAGTGTGTGAAAACACAGGGAAAGCAACCGTGAAAGAGAAGAGGAAGAAGATGATAGGGAGAGTGAGTGAGAGTTACATTAAATGAGAGAGGGAGAGAAAGTTGATGAGAATTATCATTGAATAAAGTTAGTAAAAGATATAAGGTGATGAAGAAAGAAACTAACGATTTACCTAGATAAAGCCATAGAACCTACTAAACAAGATGATAGCTTACTGTTTCATTTCTCTTCATCTCCCTTTAAATCATTTGTTATTATCATTCGTTTTGCTCAATTAACGTAATATTACTTATCACTTTTTCTTCTTTCCATCGTTTTCTTCTCAGCATCTCCTCTCCTTCACGTAAACATAGTCTGTCATATATACATGTATGTCGTCACTATTAACCATCATCATGAATCTTGATTCACTCTTGTTTTTATTTTTTATGATTATTATTTATTTTTGCTGTTTTCATTTTTTTCTCATTCTCTCCTCTCTCCTCTCTCACACTCTAAACTTATTTAATTCTTCTTTTTCACGATTCTTGACTATTCATTCTTGCATTCTCTCCCAGATAGCTGTTTTGATTCGCTTTTCTTGCCTTCTTCTATCCTAGAATATTGTCGGTTCTTTAAAACGTAATCGATAAGTTGATTTGCTGTTTAGGTTACCAACCTAACCTAACCAACCTGATCATCATTATTATCATCACTAGAGATGGAGAGAAAGAAAAGAAAGAAGAAACGAAAGAAAGATTCTTCAACACTTCTGCGCCATCTCCTATTCATTTCTTACCCATCCTCACAACAGATTGTCATTTATTTTGATGTGACACAGAGCAATTCATAACATTAAGATTAACAAGAGCATCTCAACGTTTATCGTTGCAATGTTTTGATTTAGACAGCGAAGCTGGTATTTTCTTGCAGCCAATTTTCATTTTTACTTGCTTCTATTGTTGTGCATTGATTTGCTTCACTTTCTCCAAATTCTCATCAGATGTTTGAGTTTTCGTATTCAACCTCTATTACTTTCGTTGTGTAAGCATTAAGGTCTAATTGATTATGGGTCAAAATGCTTCACATAGAAACATCCTTGCCCATTAGTATTAATTTATGGGTGTATATTGATTCCTTGTATTCCTAACTTTCATCTTTCTGCTTCAAATGCAACCTTGTCAATGATGAAAAACATTTTTTTTATCAATGTTTGATATAATATTGTCATTTGCTTCTTTTTACTCACCTTATTAACCAATTATAACGTTATTAGGAACTATTGATGTATTTGTTGTATTTGTTGTTTTCCTTGTTCTGATGAGAAATTCAAAATTATCAATTTTGCACATTCAAAGTATAAATCTCGTCATTTTGATATCCTGGTTGATCAGAATGGCTGAAAATGGAAGTGCAGAACCGTCAAAATGTTAACCTAGTTTAGTTAACCTTGATGTTCAATTTTAATGCTTTTACAGATAATAAAATTAATTTTTACAAAAAAATGTTGCCACAGAAATTTTGGGCACTTGTATTACAAATGAGTAACCATTATCATTGCCTTTAAACTCCTTTTTTTCAAACATTACCCAAAGATGTTATATTAGTAATTGCCATCAATCACTTCTATTTTTTATTCATTTTTCTAATCATGTATCAATTTTTATTCCCTTTTCTTAGCTTGCTTACTGTGTTGTACAATTCCTAGAGAAGGACGCAACTTTAACTGAATCCGTGATCATGGGCCTGCTTAAATATTGGCCTAAAACATGCAGCCAAAAAGAAGTTATGTTTCTTGGAGAGATTGAGGAAATTCTTGATGTAATTGAACCTACTCAATTCGACAAGATCCAAGAACCGTTATTTAAGCAGATTGCCAAATGTGTATCAAGTCCACATTTTCAGGTGAGCAGATGTTTAACAACACGAGCTGCTGATTATGATTTGTTGTTGGTCAATTTTAATTTTCTTGAACAACCGAGAACAACATTACTTGAATGCATTTTAAAGTGTAGTTAGAAGACACGAGCTCAGCATTTTTGTATTCATGTAACTGTGAAAAGACAAAACTCTGTTTGTGTAAGGAAACGATTTTGTGAAAGATGAGTAGAGTAGACAAAATAAAAAGAAGATAAAGAGTGTTGAAGAAGATAGTTTAAAAAGGTGAAAGGTATTGGATTCATCATCATGAATAAGGTTTTCATTGAAAGATCAATACTGAAGCGATCGATGATTGATGGTTACTTTCGCCAACCTGATCTTTTTGGTCGCCTTATTAATCAGTTTTTGAAGAGTTAGCTGAACCAAGCATTCAGAATTCAATATCAATAATCTTTTGTTTCATTAATTGATTTGATTATAAAAAAGTATTCAATCACAATTGTCATATTTGCTTGTAAAAAGAACGAAGGAAGTTGAAGAGAGATGCGTTTTTTCAATAATGTACTTGATTCATTTGATTGTTGTGCTTGGTTTGTTTTTTATTGTTTCGATATTTGATCATGATGATTCTTGAATTATTTAACAGCAATTTTCAATGTGTGTCATATTGTTAAGGTCTTGAATATTTTTTTCTGCTTATTTGAGTTTAGCAGTAATGTCAAAACAGTCTTTACACAATTTGTATTCTACTTTTTCCGAGGGAAACTTTACTTAATTTTTTCTCATTTAACTTTAAACTTTGCTGATTTATTATGTCTATGTAATGCTCTTACGCCTATTGAGTAATTTAATATCTCATAATTGAATTATTAATGTATTTTTCCATTCTTTTGTTCTCTTCTTACATTTCATAGGTTGCGGAGCGGGCTCTCTACTTTTGGCATAACGAATACATATTAAGTCTAATCGAGGAGAATTCAAATACAATAATGCCAATCATGTTTCCAGCATTATATAAAATATCTAAGGAACATTGGAACCAGACGATCATTGCACTTGTTTACAATGTTTTGAAGACATTTATGGAAGTAAACTCTAAGTTATTTGACGAATTGACTGGAAGTTATAGACAAGAAAGACAAAAGTGCGTCTCTCTGCCAAAAACCTCTGGTTGATATTGACTAAATTATTTCACTGCTCATTTCCATTTAGAGAGAAGAGGAAAGAAAAAGAAAGAGACGAGTTATGGAGGAAATTATCGGAATTGGAATTAGATCATAAGAGTGGACAATTAGGAGACGGAAGACTTTAACCTCATTATTATAAATATATTGTATGAAAGAAAAAAGGTGAAAATTTAAAATTTTTCTTTCCATCTTTTCAAAAATACATTTCATCTAATTTATTTTCTTTGATTCAATTTATTTAGATGATAGCTCACACTGGTGATACCACTGGGCGAATTGAGCTTGGCACAGTTTATACCATTCGAGACAATACCAACAAGCGTCCAATAACCTTTAATGTTGATCATCAAGGGACCGCCGGAGTCACTTTCTCATGCATCCTACACACCATCCCGGTAACCATCACACAAAGTCGATTGAGGAATAACTATTTTGTTGTATCCAGCTTTCGAATACGATTCTTGCAAACACCATGCTTAATGATTGGAACTGTCGTTGATTGCAATTTAGCGGGCAATTTCCTAGTGTTTGGTTCTGTTTTAAGTGTGGAAGAAAAAAAACAAATGTTGATTTGAGCAGAAAGCCCACAGAGAGAAAGATAATGATAAAGATGATATAAATATATAAATATAAATATATATATATATATATATATATAAATACAAAAGCAAAATACAAAAAAAAATCAAAAAATTTTAAGTTAGGGTTGCATGTCCCAATCAAAATGATTCAAACTACTCCACATTGAGAAAGAAAAACTTAAATTAACTAAATTTAATTGGTAACATCAAACATAAAATCAAACTCAAATCAATTTTAAAAAAGTGTATAAATTAACTTACGTAGTTTATCAAAACAGTTACAGATTTATCACGTCCAAAAAATTGATCCTCTCTTGATTAAGATAGACAGATTGGTTGAACATTCTCATTAAATTTTAATCGGCTATTGTAATTATGGTGAAAATATCGTGCTCAAGTGTTCACATGCTTATATTCGGATAATGAACATGTAAAACACCGAGAATTTCAGCGGTGAAAATCTTAAATCCCAAATGGCGTTGCTGAATTTGATACAACCTTTCGAGGTCTTACTCACTACTAATTTTTCTACTAATCGCTGAGTACATATTTGTATTATTTTGTATAATACAATTTAGGCAAACAAAGGTTGCATTAGTTTGTGTTTAAGTTTCCCTGTTGCATCCATAGTAACCTATGCGGAAAAACTTTGAGACAAGTCGGATAATCCTTTTTTTCTCAGAAACCGGATTAGCTAGCAAACTGAAATTTCGCAGGAACTTAGGATTAGGTTCAAACAACAAACTATGAAATTTCAAGAAAATCGCACAAATCGATCAGTTCAAATTTATCATGGCGTCTGCTAGTTTGAAAATAGCTTGTAAAAATTTTTATTCAGTGAATTTTAGTAAGTTTTCACGGGCAGAAATTGTTAAAAAATTTTGTGAATTCGGTGTTTCTCGAGCTACTGCAAATAGATATTATGTTAATTTAATGAATGACCCTGATAATTTCTTGAAAAAATATTATTATATTATATACAGTACAGTATATCAGTACAGGACAATATTATTCCTGTACTGATGAAAATTCGGTTCCAAATCAAATCAAGTATCGAAGTAAGGAAAAATTTGGCAAAAAATTGTTAATTTGGGCAGCGATTAGCGAATTGGGAATTTCAAAAATATATTTTCATGAGTGCAAAGGGGCAATGGATTTTGATATTTATATCAAAGAATGTATAACTAAAAGACTTCTACCTTTCATCAATCAACATAAAGGACGCCGCGTAATTTTTTGGCCTGATCTTGCATCTTCACATTATTCTGCAAAAACTTTGGCTAAACTGAATGAACTTTTGATTCCAATTGTTCCCAAGTTATCTAACCCCCCAAATTGCCCTAACCTTAGACCGATTGAGACTTTTTGGAGTCACTTGAAAGCAAAAGTTTATGCAGATGGTTACGTGGCACAGGACACTCAAAATTTAATTTTACGAATTAAAAACAAAATTAAGAATTTTGATTCTGCGTACTTCGCCCGACTTATGAAAAACCTAAAATACAAAGTCAATGATGCTTCAATTAATGGAATATCATATATTAAATGAAAGAAGAATAAATTTCTAATCTTATCTTTTTTGAATTAAAGTAATCGAGCAATTAACTAAAAAGATATCACCGATCGAAAATGTTGTCTCAAAGTTTTTCCGCATAGGTTAGTAGGAATTCATCCAAGAGAAAATTTTAAACTGATTCATAACAAGGCCTTTTCTGTAGTTTATTTATTAAAGTCTGCATTTTCGACCAACTCACGAATTTCCTCTGATATCTCATCTACTGCGGTCTTCCAGTATCTATTGAGTCCTCGAGGTAATCTTCAGAGTATTCGTATTCTTCTTGGTCACCTTCATCTTCATCTTCCTTGAGAAAAAGATGTTCAAAGATAAATTAGCAATTGAATAATCAATTTTTGAATTAAAACTTACTCTAATATCACAGTGACTCTATCTACTCGTCAAGAACATATAAACAATTATTTTCAATTAAAACATTGCTATGCAGATAAAACGATAACGATAAACGATAAAACAGATAAAAGTCAGTAAAGTTTTTTGATGAATGGCTCAATATTATTAATACGTTAACTAATAGATTAACAACTTATTCACCTCCGATCTACTATTGACGTCAAGTCATTTCAACCTCTCAAGTATGCCAGTATTATTCATGGCTTCCAAAATGAATGAGAATCCTCCTTTCTTCAGTAGATAATCTGAGAAGTTGACCCCATGAGACATTTGGAGTCCATTTGAAGATTAGTCTGCGAAGTTTAAAAGCACAGTAACTTTATCATTTAACTTTTCAAGAATATATGAAATTCTATATACAACATATCTTTATATAAATTATCTTCACCAAAAACATTGCCACTCAAAATTAATGTTAAGCCAGTAAATCAACCTCCAAAAACGAGCTTTGGATTGCATATTGAGACGGGAGACTCAAACATATTTTGAAAATCACATGCAATGCGTTAAAGACAACAGGGGAACATTCAAATCTTTTCGGAATACATTTCAAATATTATTTTGTTTTATTGTTCTTTTAATCCAGTCCAAGTAAAATTCAACTCTAACGTAAATATCGAGTGCATGAGGCCTCTTACAGCTCATGCTAGAAAATGTGATTCCAGCAATTACCCAATGTTTTCGAACTTTGACCATGAACGGATCGCCACTATCAGGAAAACATGCATCTTTTCGTCTTTTCGGGTAACCAGCACAGAAAAAGGAATTAGTGATATTTTTTCCAAAAACTTTTTCAAAAACTCCAATAGCACAATCATCAGATCTGTCGATAGGCAAACTGGTTATATGCACATTTAAAGGTGTAGGTTTTCCCTCGGTCATATCTTTGAGAATAAAGTAACAAATTATTATTAATTATTGTCATTGTTATAAACGTAAAGGAATGAATAACTCACTTAGTTTTTGCCGGCCAGCAACTGTCCCATAGCGACCGTGAAAAGTTTCATCTTCTCCAGGCTCTGGTAAACAAATTGGTTGGATACTCCTACTGAACTGAACTGGTTCTTTCAATAATAACAGGACGATATTGTTCATAGGTTTTCCAGGTCTGAAATCCGGATTGGAGTAAATGTCATGCACTCCAATTGTTTTGTTGTTCCATTCGTCACCTAAAATAACTCGCATGGGTCCCCAAATAGATGCTATACAATAAGTCTCAGTCAATATCCATCGATCAGCAATCAAAACACCACTACACATTGTGTAATGGCCGGTCGGATCATCTACTCCTATTGAAGCGTAGAATGGCACTTTTCCTGGGTTAGTATCGCGACCACAGACTTGATCAATCAATTGGTTGTCATAATATTGGGAATTGGATTGTAATTTTCATGAGACAATGGGAGTCCATTTGTAATGATGGGTAATGTAAGCAACAAAAAAGATACAAATAAAGACATTTTAAGTTTGACGAGATGAAGATGAGAATGAGAAATGACAAAACGACTCTTGTATTGTCTTTAAATACCGAGCACTTTAATCTTCATGGAGAGTCATAAACGGTTTAAAAACAATTCATAATATTAATCCTTTCAGGAATAATTTTTTACTGGAAATTAAACCCGTTTAAGTGTCCCTGCTGCATCTGTAGCAATAGGAATTCGTCCAAGAGAAGATAGTAAAGCATCGACTTGAACTTTTTTCAAATAATCACGACAATTAGTCAACGCAATCAATGGACCTCTTAAGTCTCGGGTTTTTTTCGTGGTATCTTTCTTCACTCTTGATCAAACCCAAGTGAGATAATAAAGCTTGAGCTGATTCATAAGAAGGTCCTTTCTCAATTAATCTTTTGGTTAGCAAATCAGACTCTTTTAAACATTTTCTGGTAAACTAATAGAAGACGATTCGTTAAATCCTTCAGTAGTAATTTTACAAAAGCTGAGCGCAATTAAAGTAGTTACTTCATCTTCCACCAACTTCCGAATTTCCTCTGATACATCTACTCGCGGTCCTCATGTATCCGTTGAGTACTCGAGGTAATCATCAGGGTACTCGTATTCTTCTTGGTCACCTTCATCTTCCCTGAGAAAAAGATGTTATAAGATAAATTAGCAATTAATTAAACAATTTTTGATGTAAAATTTACTCTATTATCACAGTGACTTTATCATTAAACTCATCAAGAGTATTTAAACAATTATCTTCACCAAAAACATTGCTACACAAATTTAACGTTAGGCCAGTGAGAGTTTTTTGAGGAATCGCCAAATACTAATAGATCAACAATTCCTTTACCTCCGATCTCATTACCAAGCCATTACAAACTCAAGTATCATTCATGGCAATCAAAATAAATGAAACTCCTTTCTTTACTAGACAATCTGAAAAGTTGACCTGTTCGAGCTTTGTTCCGTTTTTACAATGCCTCAACAATGATTCACCCCTTCAATGGTTAATGTGTTATATGGTAGCCACAATATTTATTGGATAGAAAAAGGCGAAAATTATAATCTTTTCAAAATATAATACATTTCAACTATTTTTTTACTTAATTTTAACAAAATTAAAGGTATGAACTTTAATAACTAGTAAACTGTTCTTTTAATCCAATCCAAGTAACTTGCTACATTAAGATAAACCTCGGGTAAAACCGGCCTCTCACAGTGTATGTTATTCATCGCAATCCCAGCAAGTACCCAATGTTTTTTAACGTTGACCATAAACGGATTGCCAGGTCCAGAAAAACATACATCTTTTAGATCCTTGGAGTAACCAGCACACATAAACGGCTCAACGTTGTTTCTTTTCTCGAACCCAGCTTTTATGTATGATTCCCAACAATTATCTTCTCTAATGATCGGCAAACTGGTTATTTGCATATTTGTAGGTAATTCTCTCTTTTGAGAATCTTTAAGAATAATGGAATAAATAATTCTTGATCAGTATGAAATAAATTGAATAGGGATAGGTTCACTCACCTAGTTTTCCCCAACCAGCAACTGTTCCATGGCGACCATAGAAAGTTTCATCTTCTCCAGGCTCTGGTAAACAGATTGGTTGGATATTCCTACTGAACTGAACTGGTTCTTTCAATAATAAAAGAGCGATATCGTTTTCTTCTGTTCGGCGCTTAAAATCCGGATGGACGTAACTTTTTTCAACTTCAATTGTTTTGTTGTTCCATTCGTCACCTAAAACAACTCGTATGGGTTTAAAAAAATTGAATGTACAATAGGCCGCAGTCAAGACCCATCGATTTGCAATCAAAACACCACTACACTTTAAGAAACTTCTGGGTGCACCATCTACATCTATTGAAGCGTAGAATGGCACTTGTCCTGGGATAGTATCGCGACCACAGTGAATAGTTGTTTGTGACTTTGAAAACTGGAGTCCATTTGAAATAATTGGAAAGGTAACAAACAAAAAAACTACAAATAAAGTCATTCTGATCTTGACGAAAGATAGATCTAGATGAGAACTGAAAAAGCAGAAGATTTGTTTTGTCTTTAAATAGTGAAGGATAGTAATCTACTTACTTGTTAGCTAGACTTAAACAGTTTAAAAACAAGTCGGACAAATCTCAGGAATAAAGAATCAAGCTTTATTGGTGATTAGTAATTTAAACAATTTCATTAACATTTTTTATGACTTTTATGTTTTCTCATGTCTATTTACATGTTTGTATTTTGAAATCACGATTCAGGTGCACAATGCTCGTTACATTAATGAATGGTTATTGATTGTTGTTTCAATCCATTTTACGCAAAATCCTACTCTGGTGTAAATTCAGAGCAGATCAGGTTTCTCATTGGACACAATTCCAGCAATTACCCAATTTTTTCTATTCTTTACCATCAACGGATCGCTAAAACAGGCACTTCCATCTTCCGAGAAACCAGCGCATAACATCGACTCAGAAATGATTGTTTCATTCTGTCCAGCTTTTGTGTATGATTCCCGACAATCATTATATCTGATTATTGGCAAAGTGGTTATTTGCATATTGCATGGTAATTTTTTTTCTTTTGGATCTTTAAGAATAGAGGAATGAAAAATCGTTAATAATTTACTATTAAATTAAAGCACGATTCATCCAAAGTAGTTTCGGGCATTTCTATGTGTCGTAAGTTGTCCAGACTCTTATAGAGACAAAAACAAATAAACAGCAATTCATCTAAAGTAGTTTCTTTATCTTCGAAACTCCCGAATTTCCTCCAGGGTTACCTGTCAATTGGATGGTCAAAGTAAATTATCACTAGTTAGCCTGTTTGTATCAACATCAATTTGAATTGAATCGAAATTTGTAGATCAACTGACCATCCAAAATACATAATGGATGTATGAAAAAATGGCTATCCAAAAGACGGACATGAGAAATGTAACCAGGTAAAGGTTAGTTCTTGTTTTACAGTTTGGTATCGTGTAAAAGAGAGTTGCATGTAAAGGGGCAATGATACACCATCTAAGTACTGGTAACCAGCCTTCAACAACTGGATTTGGTACAAGAGACCAATCTTCAACATTGGGACTCGAAGTGATTCGTTCATGGGCAACTTTGGACAAACCAGATGCGTGATCGCCATCTTCTCTGGCTTTATAATTAAATTCTTGTCGTCGTTGTTTTTGACTTTTACCGTGTCTTTTACGGTTAATTGATATCGTATAATTGGCTGCTGCCCGAAAACGAGTTATGGCCGGAAAAAGACGTTTGTGTTTTATAATAACAATCTGAGCTGCTTCATAGAGAGACGTTTTATTTGGATCCATGGATGGAGCTAAACCTGAATAACCAGAGTAAGGTATGACTGGTAAAGTTTTGGACAAATTTTTAAGTATTGATTTGAGACAGTTAGACTAGACTCACAGGCACCATTAAATAGTTAAATCGAAGGTGCACTTCTCAAGAATATGTTGTGAAAAAATCAATTAATTTTGATAAAAAATTATCAAGTTATGGCCTTAAATGGACAAAGGCATGATTTTGCCTTTCGTTAAAAACCTAATATTTTCAACTTCATACCAGGGTTTCGAAGAGTCGAAAAATGACGAAATTTGGTCTCGAAGCTGTTAGAAAAGATGTAATTCGCCCAATATAACTCAACATCGATCGATTGAAAGGTTCAGGTCACTATCGAAACAAAATTTCCCGGCAATTCGGTAAAAGACCAAATTTTTCATCAATTCAGAATCGATTTTTTAAAAAAGGACCTCGATTTCGAATATCATTCGAATCAAAGAGATCAGAAGGCCACTCTGCTCCTGTCGATAAAATCTTGATCTTTTATTAAGCAAAAATCTTTTTCGATATTGGCTGTTACTAAATCACGGATTTGATGATTAAAATGCATAACCACAATGTAACCAACGTAAAAAATCAACATAAGGTCTGATTCAAAAGTGGTTACTTCTCCATCATAAGCAACCAAAATAAGGACTAAAACAGTGAATGTATAGTAAGTTGAGTCTCTTGCAACAGGCCACCAGGTCATATAACGATATAATTTTAAAGAAAATTTATCTCAAACAGAAACCATCTCATATTCCTGATGATTGTGAGTACGATAAATATTGATGAATTATATTTATTTGATTCAATGTTTTCTGTCAACACTATTCTGTAATCTTTCCTGAATCAGCTAAAAACTCTCAAGCGCAACGATTAACAGTAAAATATTAAATAGTCGACAGTATTTGCTAGTTGATTAACTTACAATTGCACATTCTTCGAGTGACGTTAAGAAATAGTGATCACAAACAATTGCTAAACAATAAAACATGGGTAAGGTTGAAGAAACATCCGTAAGCTCACTTCTCTTCTCATCAGCCACAGCTAATTTCGGCTCACGCCGAGTGGCTAATTAAAAAAACTTAATATTTAAGGGTTAAATTTAACAATTAACTTTGATATTCAATCTAGTCAATTATATTAAGATCATCTAGTAATTAAGAATCATTTTCTAAGACTCGGAAATCATTTCCAAGTCAGTAATGTATTGTAAACATGAAATTGCATCAATTGATCATTGAATTAGCAAAACTGAAATTTAGACGTGATTTAAGTTTGCTGAGCATGTGGGAATGCTAACCTCTTTCAATTGGGGTAACAACAAAGTTAATTGTTAAATTTAACCTTTAAATATTAAGTTTTTTTCTTAGCCACTGGGCGGTGAGCCGAAATTAGCTGTGGCTGATGAGAAGAGAAGTTAGCTTACGGATGTTTCTTCAACCTTACCGTTTTTTTGCTTGTTACCTTTCCAATCATTTCAAATGGACTTCAGTTGTCCCATGAAATTAAACAATCAAATATTTACTGTGGTCGCGATACTATCCCAGGACAAGTGCCATTCTACGCTTCAATAGAATATGATGAACCAAACGTGCATTACGAATTGTGTAGTGGTGTTTTGATTGCAGATCGATGGATATTGACTGAGGCTTATTGTTTAAAATTTATTTTTGGACCCATACGGGTTGTTTTAGGTAACGAATCAAACAACAAAACAATTGGAGTGGAAGACTACTACATCCATCCGAATGTTAGTCTTGAAACAACCATGAACAATATCGCTCTTTTATTATTGAAAGAACCAGTTCAGTTCAGTATGAACATCCAACCAATTTGTTTACCAGAGCCTGGAGAAGATGAAACTTTTCATGGTCGCTATGGGACAGTTGCTGGCCGGGAAAAACTAAGTGAGTGTTTTATTCTTTCACTTTATTGATGACAATAATTAATAATTATTTTTTCCTTTATTCTTAAAGATCCAACAGTGAGAAAATTACCTTCAAATATGCACATAACCACGTTGCCTATCGACAGATCTGAGGATTGTGATAAATTTTTCAAAAAAGTCATTAAAAAAAATATCACTGATTCCTTTTTTTGTGCTGGTTACCCGAAAAGACGAAAAGATGCATGTTTTCCTGATCGTGGCGATCCGTTTAATTTTGTATAAGTTTGACAAAATTGGATTCAAAGCTTGAACTTCGGTCTGTTTTTGCACAGTTGAAGCAGTTTTGGAGAGTTGGTCAAAGATAAGGATATTTTACTTTAGATTAATTGTGTTCAACTTTCGTGAAAATGCAGATTTTAATAAATCGACTTCAGAAAAGGCCTTCTTATGAACCAGCTCAAGCTATATTATCTCACACGGTTTGATTAAGAGTGAAGATGGATCCAGGAGACTTAGAGGTCAATCTATTGTTGACTAATTGTCGTGGTTATTTGAAAAAAGTTCAAGTCGATGCTTTACAATTTTCTCTTGGACGAATTCCTACTGCTACAGATGCAACAGGGAAACTTAAACGAGGCTGATTCCAATAAACTTGGTTTCTGATTCCTGAAAGGATTAATAATATGACTTGTTTTAAAGCGTTATACTTCTTA